AACAGGTTACTGCCATTTTTATACTATCAACTAAGAAAATTGATGACATGGGAAAAATATCAATACAACAGTGTTAAATGTCCAATTTCCTCCATTCTGAGATTCTGAACATAGGGAATGATTGAATCTGACAAACTGCAATGATATAAGTTTATTTCCATTTTTGAAACTTTATTACACAATACACGATAACAAGTTTACCATCATTTTTACATAATCAACTATTAATGTTGTAAAGATGCAGGAAATGTCAACCAAACACTTAAACATGTCTTATTAGTTAAATAATGAGACTGTTAACATGAATAAGAATTCAATCTGGGGAAATGTGAAACAAGACAGCACTGTTCTCTCATGGGTTTATTTCCATTTTTAACGCTTTTTTTAACATAAAACAAAATAAACAGTTTACTGCAATTTTAACATGATCAACTAAGGAAATTGATGAGATGGGGAAAATATCAATAGAATAGTGTTAAATGTCTAATTTCCTCCATTCTGAGATTCTGAACATAGTGAATGATTGAATCCGACAAACTGCAATGATATGAGNGCGTACAATTTTAAAAGGTCTGGTTACGCCCCTGTTTGAAGTCAGAATTTGAAAAATTAGTATGACAAACTTTGCTGGATGAAAAAAAATGACTGAGGGGCATTTTCTAATGTGTGCAGAATACCTTAAAATATCATAATATCATCAAATAATTAGGTTAACTATGAGAATAGACAACCTCTATGTCTCTTTATCCCAAACACATCTACATCCCTAAAATAGGTTGGTGGTGTAAAATGAACCATTTTGGTGCTGAGGAGTAATTGTTTAATTAAATAGAAAAGAGAAAAACTATTTGAATACCAGTTTTATTTTCATTTCTTCGTAATCACTTCCCAGGTTAAAATTGAAGAACCCTCCAATTAACATGATATTTAAATATCTTCCCAGATTATTACATGTACACAGATGTATCCCGAAACGTATAATTAAAGAAAAGGAAACCCCCAACAAAACTTACACTTTCATTTTCTTCGATTACTACATTAATTGAATAATCCAACAACACACATTTTAAGCAAATAACATCCTTGATTAATATGGATTTTTTTAACAATGTCTTCCCAGATTACTACACTAAAACAGCCCACAGTTAAAGAAAAAAATCCCCATGAATTTTCAATAGCCTTTCTGTGCCAGTGTATCTGTAAACTATACAAGTAAAATGCATAGTTTATGCACCAAGTATTCTAATAATCCCACTTGTTTGAAGTATTTCCAATAAATTAAAATTATAAAATTAAACCCAACTTAAACAGTCCGGTAGATTTTCTAAGTTCTTGGCTGTAAACCTCCATTGTTCTTAATTTTCTTTTATGGGTATGTTTCAGTCGTGGTGCAACTGAAATGAACAAAGTAAAACTTGTATTTGAAAGAAAATATGGATTCAAAATAAGATACAAACATTCGATGGTCAGAAATAGACATCATATCGGAAATTTTTGTTTCTGCTATCATGCTGTCTTACTGCCTATATAAAAAATTAATAAGTCTTGAAGGAAACATGAATATTTTTAAAAACAATTTGCTAGTATCATCATTGTATCGATATTTAAAATATATTCAAATCAAAATTAAAACGGTATTGCCTTCAAGTCTGTTTCCCTAAGTAACCCTAGGGCCACTCTCAAAGGAAAAACTATCAAACCAAAGTTAGGTTTTCAGTTTATGCAGCGAGGCATGTAAGTGATTCAAGGCGGATTCAAGTAAACAGAGGGGATAGCCAAGCAATGTACCCGGTACATGTACATACATACATGTAATGTGCCGTAGAAGCAAAATTTACACCTGAAGCGAGTACAGATTCCCTGTAATACATATTATCCACTTTATGTAGTTTCTCATACTACTCAAATAAAGTCGCCATGCCAAAAGAAAATAATAAATTAATCATTTGGTCAGTTCCCCCCCCCCCCACATCTGCCCAAAAAATAGCCATAACACTGCCCCTTTTTTCAAATTTGTGGTCAGAAACTTGACCTATTCATCCATTGCCCTGGTTCACAAGTCCGCCAAATGACGCGGTAATATGTGGCTACTAACTGAATAGATCTGGATATCTTAATGAGAGGGGGAAATGACCGAGGGTTATATACATAGCACTGAAAGAAAAAATGTCTCAGGTATGAGACCATGATCTTCGACATTCTTTGGGCTTTGCTATTTGAAACAACACGGTGGCATTTGATCAAATTTAATGGCAGAGATTTGACTGCGTATATAACTAAAATATTTAGTTATATAGTCAAATGCACTGTGGTGGTACAGAGGGAAAAATAAAATTACCTGCCGTCATTAACAAAGCAATCTGCAGGAGGGCCTCCAGAACAGGGGTTAATATCGTCAGCAGGGTCACCGTTGAAATTTCCACACAACGCATTTAGTAGTCCAGCATATGCATCTGTTATAAAGAGAAACATGTTTAAATACAACTGAACAACAATAAAACATTCAGGTGATTTTACAATACTGACACAAACAATTATAATTCTTTTGTATCTATTCCCTCACACGGTTTTGATGCAGGAACTATGCAAATAGGGTCCTTCAGTCCATCTGAATGCAATAAATGGATAAAAAGACTCACATTGGACCTTTGAACAAATGAATTATCTTAAACAGTCTTTTTAAAAGAGGAACTAATTAAAAGTTCTGGGTAGTTCAAACGAACAAATTGGCCTCTTATGAGGCCCATGAATGAGCCCTCAGGTGATATTGCAAATTGTCCGGACACTTTAAAAATCTATTGTTTAGTTTTTTTTACACATCTCTGCCTCCACCCCCTTCCAANAAAGGAAAACTGCAGGGCATTTTATCAATCAAATTCAACCTGGGTGAGCGGCAAAATTTGCAATTAATTAATACTGGTTGGAAGATCTACACGTATTTACTTATGTTTGGAAATTCTAGGAAAAGATCGAATTTCTTGCCCAGTGCAGTTGATGTTGGATTTTATGTGAAAGTGGACGTTGTTGTTGCTGTCATGTTTGGTCTTAAGAGGATATAACAATTATTGACACGTTTTGGCTTTGTACAATCCTGTCAAATAAGCAATACATACATAGAAGAACTTAACTAAGCATCACTACCAATGCATGTGTTGCAGCCAAGTGCTGCAGTTTATATGTGTGTGTGTGTGTGTGTGTGTGTGTTTATGTGAGCGGCTGCATGTTTGCCATTTTACCTGCAACAGTTATGATGGCTCTATGTCCTTTACGTCTTAATCCCCCAACAGGAGTGGTCAGTTCAACTTTCACAACGCCAGGCACATCTACAACAGTCCTTGGAAAGCCAGATGGGTCAAGAAACAACATCACTCCATTGCCTACGTTTTGTGGAGTGGTTGTTGCAGTGACGATCACATTGTTAATCTGGAGTGGAAAGACAATAAATAAGGACCCATTAACTTTTAAATTGGTGATATATATATATATATATATATATATATATATATATATATATATATATATATATATATAATTTGTACTTTGCTTGAGCTGGCATGTACTAACAAGGTTTCAAAATGAATTAAAAATATTTCCATTTGCATTCCTTCACTGATAACAAAGGTCTTAAGCAGCTAGATGACTTCACTGAAGAGCAAGCTAGCTGCCAAAGGCCTATTGGTTAAATCCATTCACACGCACCTTCACTATTCCATCTGTAGTCACCTCAACGGTCATATTGCGCACATTTATCAAAACCTTCTGGATCATGGTCCTAGTACTGCCAGACTTATAATAGTCAAATTTACCAATTATGCTGAACTGCTCGGGGGCTCCTGGGAGGGTTTCTGAAAGTCTATGTGTACAGAACCCGCTGAAAAGGAAGCGTCTTCCATCGAATTGTTGAAAATGGGGGTCCCCTCTGACTGTACACTGACCCGCTGAAAATTGTAAAATAAAATTTATTAAAAAAGACCTTTTTAAGAATTTTAGGCATTCAACTGGTCAGTTACTCTGGTTTATTCTGTACAATACCAGTGCGCATGTGCTTTACTGGCATTGATTGTTTTGCTTTAATTACTGTTAATTGGCTTGATTATTAAAAATAATTTCTGCATATTTTGATAAAAGAAAATTGGAAATTTCTTTATTACATGTATATCAAAATTGAGATGGAAAGTAAAATAGGTCGTTTTGTTTAATGCAAGTTAAGTGTCCAATGTCTTTCTCAGTTTTTTTTTGTATAAGGATATTCCATGATAGGTGATCATAATTTGGAAGTTTTTCACAGCTCATATTGTGTGTCAGTTTTCCAATAAAAATCACTGGTAGTTTCTTACCGTTTTCAGGTAAAAGTTCCCGCTTTTGTCTTGTAGTAATTAAAATGAATTTAGTTGGTAGTTACTTCGTTTATTTTTTGGTGTAGTTAAAAAGTTGTTTTCTTGGCCACTCCGCCGAGTCATCTGCACACACACACACACATACGCGCGTGTGCACCCGCACACACTATGTCTCTAGACATAGAGTCATCTTTCTGTGCAGTTAGCATTAGAGTGCATTTTATCGTTAACACAAACAAGGCAGCAAAGCTGTCAAATGTACAGACAAAAAGCAGGAAATAACTATGCACAAAATAGGCTACTGTCAATTCTGATGCAAATTCAAATTCATTCTGATGCAAATTCAACATCAAATTTGTGTCTGTACATAAAAAAAGCATACCTTCTACAAAAATGGCCCGATCATGCTGATTTTCGAACTTGACCTGTGTTTTATGAATATTCATCAGCTCTGTAAATATAAAGCCCAAAAGTAAAACTGCCTTCCACTTATCGTGCTTACAATGAAAGTGCACGGCGCCGGCGACAGCGATGACGGCAACAACAGACACAGGTAATGGCAATATGTACAGACACATCTATATATATTTACTGTACTGTTTAAGAACAGTAACTGACATGGTTTTTCTTTAATGGTCATCATGGGAGCAGTGCCCAAAATAGGCTTTTTTCAAATTTTGATGCAATATTAGATAATGTTTAACAGCATAATGACCATCAATTTTTAATAATAAAATATTAGTATCATGGATATTCAGAAAATGTGACTAGCAAAGGTCTTCAGGCCCATGGAACTTCAAAGTCACAACTTGAAAATGCCAAAATGTAAGCAAGACAGCACTGTTCTGAAATGTGACTAGCAAAGATCTTCAGGCCCATGGAACTTCCTGCGTTTTAGTAAGATCGCTTTTTTTTCTGTGAGTTTCATGACAACAGGATTATCCGTTTTCCTTGAAATGTGTTTCGAACTTGACCTGCATTTTATGAATATTTCATCAGCTCTGTAAATATAAAGCCAACAAGGCAGCAAAGCTGTCAAATGTACAGACAAAAAGCAGGAAATAACTATGCACAAAATAGGCTACTGTCAATTCTGATGCAAAAGTACATTATGTTAAACTGCAAATTCAACATCAAATTTTAATTATGCTCAACAGGTAATACCAATGTAAGTAAGATGCAGGAAATGTCAAACAAACACTTTTACGTATCTTATTAGTTCAATAATGAGACTGTTAATATGCCTAACAATTGAATCTGAGGAAATGTGAAAAAACAGCATAACTTCTAAAAGAATGGCCCGATTATGCTGATTTTGGAACTCAACCTGCGTTTTAGTTAGTTTGACTACTCCTGTGAGTATAATGACAATTGGCCTATCTGTTTTTCTTATATTGTGTTATCAGTGCTGCATATATGCTGAAATATGCTGAAAAGTGAAAACAAGGCAGCAAAGCTGTCAAATGTACAGACAAAAAGCAGAAAATAACAATTCACAAAATAGGCTACTGTCAATTCTGGTGCAAAAGTACATTATGCTTAACTGCAAATTCAACGTCAAATTTTAATTATGCTCAATAGGTAATACCGATGTAAGTAAAATGTGTAACAAGCATAAGGCTTCAGGCCGATGGGATTTCAAGTTCACACTTTCAAAATGGCAGAATGAGAAAAATGAAAATTTCATACAAAATTGCATAAATTCAATAATAAATGATAACCTAATAGAGCTGGCTTTCTAATCTGAACTGCATGCCAATCCTAAAAATCATACTTGTAAGTTAAAAATAATAATAAGTAACACAGTTTTCTTTTCATAATGTTTGTAGTGGCAGTGCAAAAAGATCTTTGTCAATTTTGATGTAACATTACATAATAAATAACAGAATAATTATCACTAATTTTTGATTATTGACTATAAATAGATGGACATGTAGAAAATTTGATTACCATTCGGCTTCATGTCCATGGGAGCTCGAAATCCCACAATGAATATGCCAAAACGATAAAAATGAATATTTCACTAAAATGTATAACTTCCAGAAAAAGAAGCCAATTAGACTGCTTTTCCAACTCGGGCTGCATTTTAGTCCTGTGTTTCTCTTTTGAAAGTTTGACAGTCATAAGTACCAGGGTTTTTTCATAATGGTCATCATGGCAGCAGCACCAAAAATTGTATTTTCTTCTATTTTGATGCAACATTACATAATGCTTAACAGCATAATGACCATCAATATTTAATAATAAAATAAACCTATTATGGATTTTCAGAAAATGTGACTAGCTTGGGTCTTCAAGCCCGTGGAGGTTCTAAGTCACACCTTGAAAATGCCAAAATGTGAAAAATTAAATTTTCACAAAAAAAACTGTTTAATTGCCAGAAAATTTTACCAAACAGACTGCATTGCCTACTGAAGCTGTATTTTAGTCTCATGTTTCTTTCCTGTAAGTTTGAGAACAGTAAGTGACATCATTTTCCTTAAATGGTCATCATGGGAGCAGTGCCCAAAATAGGGGTTCCTTCAAATTTTGATGCAATATTACATAATGTTCAAAAGCATAATGACCATCAATTTTTAATAATAAAATATTAGTATCATGGATATTCAGAAAATGTGACTAGCAAAGGTCTTCAGGCCCATGGAACTTCAAAGTCACACCTTGAAAAAGCCAAAATGTTCTGCAATGGGTTTATTTCAATTTTTAATACTTTTTTAACATAAAACAAAATAAACAGTTTACTGCCATTTTTATATGTTCAACTAAGGAAATTGATGAAATGGGAAAAATATCAATAGAACAGTGTTAAATGTACAATTGCCTCCATTCTGAGATTCTGAACATAGTGGATGATTGAATCTAATAAACTGCAATAATATGAGTTTTTTTTTCAATTCTGACACTTTATTAGACAATACACGATAACAAGTTTACCATCATTTTTACACAATTAACTAACAATGTTTTAAAGATGCAGGAAATGTCAAACAAACACGTTTACGTATCTTATTAGTTCAATAATGAGACTGTTAACATGCCAAAGAATTGAATCTTAGGAAATGTGAAAAAACAGCATAACTTCTAAAACAATGGCCGGATTATGCTGATTTTCGAACTCAACCTGTGTTTTGGTACAATTGACCAGTCCTGTGAGTATAATGACAATTGGCCTATCTATTTTTCTTATATTGTGTTATCAGGGTTGCATATATGCTGAAAAAAGTGAAAAAACAGCATAACTTCCCTAAAAATGGCCCGATCATGCTGATTTTCAAACTCGACCCGCGTATTATAAATATTCATCAGTTCTGTAAGTTTCAAGCCAAAAGGTAAAACGGTTTTTCACTTATCGTGTTTACGGTGTTGCATAAATGCTGAAAAAAGTGAAAAAACAGCATAACTTCCCTAAAAATGGCCCGATCATGCTGATTTTCGAACTTGATCTGCGGATTATAAATATTCATCAGTTCTGTAAGTTTCAAGACAAAAGAAAAAACGGTTTTCCACTTATCATGTTATCGGTAAAAGTGCACGGCGACGACAACAGCGATGACGACAGACGCAGATGATGGCTATATGTACAGACAAATCTGTGTCTGTACATAAAAACAGCACAACTTCTACTATAATGGCCCGATCATGCTGATTTTCGAACTTGACCTGCGTTTTATGAATATTCATCAGCTCTGTAAATATAAAACCAAAAAGTAAAACTGTGTTCCACTTATCGTGTTAACGCTGAAAGTGCACGGCGCCGGCATCGGCATCGGCATCGGCGACGACAGACGCAGGTGACGACAATATGTACAGACACATCTGTGTCTGTACATAAAAATTCTTTTATTATCAGAATTAGAAGAAATATGAATTTTTAGAAATTTGCACTTCAGACCAACATCTCTCTCTCTCTTCGTCTCTCTCCTTCTCTGTCTCTCTCCCTCTCTCTCTTTCTCTCTCATGCTGACAACTGTACACATACATTCAGAGCCACATATCACTGTTTATTCTCTCTCTCTCTCTCTCTCACCTAGTGCCCGTCGTATCCGGTCATAGTTGTCCGTTAAACTCACAACAGTCCGACCATCTGACCCTGACCCGCACTCTACCAGGCCGATTAACTCCTTGAAATCATACACATTGTTTGTGTACTCTGCATCTGAAATATAATAAGGGATCTTCCTATTACGTCAGTTATTGTCTTAGTTTTAATTTCAATTAAAGTTTTAATAAAAATGAAATATATTTAAGTATATAAACTCCTTCAGTCAAAGCTTTCATTATAAACATTTTGAATGAGATAAATGCAAGGAATGGAAAATGTTTTATCAAAGCTTCGTAAGAGTACCCGTTATATATTCTTAAATTCTGAAAGATGCATAAGAGAGTGTGGTATCTTATGCAGGTATCTCACCATCAAGAATCTTGTGTATTGCACTTTTCATGTCAGTGAAAGCTTCTCCTTCCATGCTCCCAGAAGTATCCACACAAATCACTGTACTCAAACCACAAACCCGCTCTCCGTACATGCGCTCTTCAGGGAAATCACCTGCTAAACAAAATTAATGGCAAAATTAAGGAAAGAAACATCCAAAAACAAATGTCCTTCTCAGCTCTCAACACTTGCCAAATGGGAATAGAGTATACTGAACTATGGGCTATGCCTAAATGCCTAAATATAATCATTACTTTCCAGAGCTTTTTCGAGGAGGCGGTGGGCCAAATAATCATTCATGTTTGCGATACCTTGCATGGGCTTGATAAAAAGAATATATTTGGTGTAAACTGCACCACTTCCAGTTCCAAACAGGCACTGTGACTGCCGTAAAAAGAACAAGAATATAGAGCAAGTGTTTGAAATGGACGCTTATATTTCAGGATTCAACTTACCATTATCAAAATGTTCTTCTGCACGCTTATATTTCAGGATTCAACTTACCATTATCAAAATGTTCTTCTGCATGTCCTCCACTTGCTTGCAAGCCACTATCATTTGGCTGCTTTAAATCATCACTGTTAGTCTTTTGAGTGCGAACTTGAACAACGCTGCCTTCACTTTTGGGCACAGGTACTGCTGGTTTTGGATGAGTCTCTATGGACTGTGTCCCAATACCCACAATACTGTTTATGTTAGTTTGTGCATTACTTGGATATTGCCATTTCAAGAGCTCTCCATTACTTTCACTCATCGTTATCTGTCGTAATTTGTCTGTCAGAATTTTTATAAATTGATTCTTTTCTTCCAAAGTGTCCTGTGCTTTTTTTAAATCAGTTGCTGTTTGCAATAAATTGTTTTCCAGCTCCTCACATTTCTCATTCATCTGAGATATTCTACCATTTTGATATATTATAAGTTTGTGAAGTCTTTCTATTCTGAAATCTTTCTCATTGTAGCCAGTAAAAGTCTGTGGAAACTTCTCGGTGAGCAGAGGAAGGGGATCGTTATATCCACTTTCATACGCCCACTCCAGAAGAACCTTCGGGTTGGCTTCCATTTTCGGTTGGCCGGCAATGTCTAGCCACAACAAGCTTTGGTTACACTCTTTCAGTGGGCGTTTTCCAAAGTTTGAATCATCTGACGTCATTGGCAGGTCACCTAAAATAATACCACGACTTCTATTATCATCAAGTCATTGAGATACGGAACAAATACATACTGTACACTTACTATTCCTCATTCTCAGCATCAAATATGATGAATGCTTTTTTTCGTTAATTACGTACAGCCATCATCTCAATGCAACACCAGCTAACTTGTTTCAGACACTTTCTTTTGAGAAAGCGGCTGTTATCAGCTGTGAAAACTATCTAATTTATCAAAATTGACACTACAAAAAATTTAAAAAAAAAGAAGTTTCATTAAATGCAGATGGGGGAACTTTACTTTCGTGTGTGGGATTTCACATACTGGACACTTACCATGAAGTAATCTACGTCTCTTCTTCAAATACTCTTCTAGATCCATGTCTGTACTTAATGATAAAATAAGATCTTCCTGAACCATATTTCGGATTTCCTCAGTCAAAATGACCTCGGTCAAGGACATTGACAAAGGTGAAGGTTGCCAACTTTTAACCCACATCCAGAATGCATCTAATTGTTCAACGGTGTAAAACGTCAAATTCATCAAAATGGATCCTCTGGATAAATCGGTGACGATCAAGTTCTGTTCCTCCAAGGCGTTTCGTATGGCATCTGTCATCGGTCTGCTTATGTCGGGGTTGTTAGATATGTATTCATCAATAGCGCGCAATACTACTTGAAGACAACGCTGATCATCTTCTGATGTTCTCCTTTCTTCCAGAATATCAACTGTAGCTCTAATATGTCCAGTAACATTGGCTTTTCCTAAAAACCATAGCAGAAATATATTATAACGGGTCAAATGTGGTTATCTATAAAAAGACAATAGCTCATCTTTGGCATCTAGTAATGCTAACTGGATCTTTATCAATGGCAAACAACCCTGTTGTTCGGAATTCGATTCATGAAATTTTGTTTATTTATTCAAAAACCACCTAACAGTTGTAAAAATCATCTGCAGGACACTGGAACTGTGGATAAAATTACCAACTATGAACAAGATCATTGACAGTAGCCCCACTCCCCTCAGATTTAGGTCAATGTTTTTTTTCTAAAGAACTCTTCTAAGAAAGCAATTACTGAGATTAAAAATCAGCTTACCAAGTAGCTGGTCAACAATGAACTCGCAGTTGTTGTCTTCTAATGCCTGCATAAAGACCCAGAATGCTTTCTCGCTGGAGTGTAACAGAACTTTTGTCACTAAATGCTCACATTTTTCCGTCTCAGTGGTTTTACTTGCAATCTTTTCTCTCTGGCGATCAGACAGAACCAAGTGGCTGAACATATAAAGTGCCACATCATCAATAACGGGTTGCAGATAACATATCAAATAACAAAGATTTCCCCTAAGGGCCTTCCGGTTCCGATTCTCCAACTTCTTGTTACCATCTAAAAGTAAAAGAATGCACAAACCTATCAGAAAAAAAGACACAAAAGCAATATTTGACACTTAATTATGTTTAAACTTGCCACTTTTAGATGTAAACGACTACATATACACGCAAAATGAAAGTTGATAAAATTATTATAATTTGGCTGGTAAAGATATGATAACTTATAAACTAGTTATAAGACGTCACACGGTCATCGAACTGTTGGCGAGTCTTTGCTTAGTACAAGCACCAAAATAAGAAATGCAATACATAAATGACGACTCTTTGACAAAAAAGTTGGCAAGTTATAATTACAAACCTTCAATGTACTTCTTGAAGTCACGTTTAGTGTTAGTGGATAGTTGTTGCATTCCATTACAATAGCATTCTCCATTTCTTCTTTCTGCTTCCTGTCTGGCAGTACATTCTGCACAGCAGTTTTCAGGGATTTGCGGTGTTTGTGGTACATTTTGAGTCAGCTTAAGTCCTGTATCACTGCCAGCATCATCACCAGGAGGCTATAACATATAAATCATGTAACATGTTCTACAATATATATATATATATATATATATATATATATATATATATATATATATATATATATATATATATATATATATATATATATATATATAATATGTACTTGAAATATAGCGTTTTAATGATTTGATAACTTAAAGAAATGGGAATGTCGAATCTCTTTAGGTTATGGATTTACCCAGCAGCATTATCACAAAAAATCTTAATGATAAATTCAAACAATATTTTTGCTGAAAAATTATTCCTAAATAAACCACCATGTCACCAGTAAGACATGACTTCTTAAAAGTAGTAATTATACCTCATTTTCAGGTGTTTCGCCTACAGTACTAGCTGCAGCTGTGGGGGTATTTTCTTCACTTGGAGTTTCTTCGTTTAAATTCTTTGGGATTGTATCATCATGTAACCCCTAAAAGAGTCCAAAGTTCTAAACTCTAACCACATAAACTTGACCTTTTTTCTTTTTACTCTGATGTCACGTAGTTTACAGTCAGTACAGGACCAAGTTCATGAGGTACATTCCAACAAAACAACATTTACCTGTAACATTACATTTCACTTACTTTTGCAACTACGATTGCAAATATTAATTAGTTTTCATGAGGTACATTCCAACAAAACAACATTTACCTGTAACATTACATTTCACTTACTTTTGCAACTACGATTGCAAATATTAATTAGTTTTCGACATCAATTTTGAATTTTAAACACAAATTCATACCCTTCGCCTGTAATCTATGGAACCCTTGTGTTATCACAATTCAGCTGAATTTATTACTATATATGTTAAAATATTACTATTCCTAACATGACATTTATTTAATATAATGCTTATCTAGAGGAGGAGCTCTCGCTTCTCTATTGCCCAATAACCTCCATGGTAGATAAAATAGGAAAGACACATTGCATTTTTTCAATAAGCAATATATATATATATATATATATATATATATATATATATATATATATATATATATATATATATAATTAAACGGAATAATTCTAATTATACCTCGTCTCCTGTTGGGTCGTTTCCTCCAACTGCTGCACTAGCGACACCTTTTGGGGTCGTTTCTTCTCTTGCATCTTCTCCATTCAATCTTTTTGGGACAGTATTATTGTGTAATCCCTGTCAAAAACAAATACCAGTGTTTCTTTACAGAGATATATTTTACATACGCCAAGGAAGTTAGTTTTTTGACAACTTTGGTTTGTCTGCGCATTTGTTCTTAGCAATATTATGAAAAATGCTATGGACTGATTTTGGTGAAGACTTTATTACTGTTAAAAGTGGTTTAAAGTGGACGTATATACAAGTCATTAACTTTAAGGGGTAGCCTGGATCATGTTCTGGTTCCAAAAATCTTTTATGGGTTTAACATTTAAAATTATTGCACATAATACAATGTTACTCCTAAAATAATGTCAAGAATCATGAGCAATGGTGAAGGAGAAGAAGAAGAAATATATGCATAAATGGAAAAGTTTAGTTTAGAAAGATAATCTGTTATTGATTGCTACTGTATGATTAGACTTGGGCTGGTCTGTAAGTGCTTTTCCAGTCTTTTCATTATTTTACACATAAAAGCTGGACTGTACGTAGCAGTATTATGAAAATGCTTTTGCAGACATAAATTCAAAATTAATCCTAGAATGATATTTTGTGTCACTATTGTGTGAGTGATAATATCAAGACACATATTAAAAATAAAGGAATTTTTTTTCTACCTCCTGATCCCTGTAGTGCTGAACCAGTCCTGGGCTAAAGCTTGGGTTTGCGTCAACGTGTTCATTCCCCTCCCCCAACGGGTTAGGTCTGTTTGCTTCACTTTGTGGCTGTATCTATTTTTGAGAATGAATAGTATGTTACTTCTGCCCACGAGTATGATAAAACATGACATGACAAGCTATACTTGTGTCTATATGTAATTTGAAAGAATATTATCATATTTAAAAATTATATGTATACATTGTAGAATTAAGGAAAATCTATCAAATGAAGAGAATAACCTAAGCTCTTTAACTTGATCTTGCCGAAATAAAGAACAGGTTGCCCCTTCACACAGGAACCGCTCAACCCGAACCAATACATACGTTAGCAGAGCATGACTCTTGTTGTATTAGGGAACCTCTTCCTTCTCTACCAAGGTCTAAGGTGTTGTTTCCAATAAAATCACTTGTGTCTGCTTGTTCTTTTTATGAAAGAGGAATGGCTTTGTGACTAACTTACTGCAATATCATACTTCAGCTGTGCAAAAATGTGTTAATTCAAACTACTCTTTTTGCCTCGAATACAGACAAATGCTAAAACACTATTGATAAAATTGATGCAACATCTTGATTAGATTATGATTAAGTTACCATAATAAAACTTTTTCATAAATCATATTCCATGATTAAGTACAATGTTCTTCCCAATATTCTTTACCACCTATCTCCGTATAATTACCTGTACTTGTAGCATCTGTAATACATATTGCATCGGCTGGATCAATATGCCTGAAAAATTACATTTGGAAACTTAGAAAACCAAAAAAATTTGATCTGTGTCATTTTAGCAAGTGTCAATTAAAAAGGTAACATTTTCATCTCTAAAAATAAGATTGTCCCATTATCTGATGAACAAAATGAAGAATAAAAGCTCACCCTATAATGTCACCACCACTGTCTGATTTTCTATCACTTTCACTTTCTGAAAAAAAAGGACCCCAAATGTAAAATAATACAGACAAACAACAAACACAAAACACACATCATCTATACAATGAACAAAAAAATGAACATGAATTTTTCTGAAATGACAATGCATGACTATACTATACTATAAATATAGCCAACTAGTTCAAGTGTATGCCTATGTGCCATATAAAACATCAGTGGCAGATTTGGGAGGGGGGGGGGGATTCAGGGGGGTCCTGACCCCCACTTCGATTTCTGAAAAAAAAAACACACCAAAGGTCTCCTATTGAAATTAGAATTTTGACTAGCTGATCACAGTTCTGAACCATAAAAAATGGCACCATTTTCGGTCCCTGAACCCATATTAAAGGGGGGAGGATAAGGATCGGCTTTGTATCTCCCTTCAAATAATCCTGGATCCGCCCCTGAACACATATATGTCATGTACACATTACCTGATTCAATATCCATATCAGAGAAGCTTTGCCATTTCTGAATAGTCTGTTGTAACTTGGCAGTTGCATCTTCAATGGTTGTTATTCTTCCGTCACACAATTCCTGCATCTGCCAGGAAATTTTTGTGACCTGATTTTCTAAGCCAAGTATTTTAGCATATAGGTCAGTTAGATTTAGTTCTTCACATGACCCCATCTGTGTTGTTGGAAAGAACATATACTGAAAACAGACAAAAAAACATAATTATCTAAAGCGGAATTTTCCGAAAGTTATATGAAGCTGATCATATCTTGAATAAAGAGAAGGTAAAATATGAGCTTAACCTGAGATGTTCATGTAGGGGGGGGGTATTGTAATTTGATCACCTCAATCATTAAGGAAACATCTGCCCTCATATATCAGCTGCACTTACAAAGTGAAATTTACTGAATCAGCCTGAGTCAAATTACTGAATCACCTAACAAATTTAACAATGTACACAAAAGTCATATATCTGACAAAAATATAAAAATAATTATAAACCACTGCTGAACATACTTGACTTGTATCCCTATAGTGTTAATTGTATATCAGTACATGTACCTACCTCACTCAGTCAGAATTCAAAATTGATGAAAATATAGGCCTCACCATTTCTGTGAGCCCAGGATCTACGTTCTGGTTTGTGTTTTGTGAAACCTGTGAAATACATTATTTGCAAAATGATATGAAGGGAGGTGGAATTTTCCTTTCACTTTTTCTTCCTATTTTACTTACACATATAAATTAGACATGCACATTCCCAACTAAACCAAGTTATAAATTAAGTAAAGTTTTCATAGTTACAATTTATAGTAAATAAAATTAATTAAGTGTTGTGTGTCATGATTAAAGTGAATTCAGACCTTTGCATTGAATTAAGAACTTTTTCTCCTTTAATGGAGGGGCTCTACCTGCAAGGTCTGCAAAGGCTCTCCATAGACAATGTAAACGTAGGGCTAATAGTTACAAAAAAAAAAAAAAAAAAAAAAAAAACTCCCCACTTTCTCCCCCTGGAGACTACTATACAGTTACAGCATATGTCAATTTCACAGGGGTGGGAGGTATATAAGTTAAATGCAGTTCTTTCCTATTTAATTTGTGCACATATAATATATTTAACGTCGGCAGGGACACGACTAATTTCCCAAAGCAAAGACATATCGTACATGTATATGTACAAGTACCTGTAGTTTTAAATACGATGATTCATAAACCACTTACTGACAAGACTCCAACAAGTCTCTACATGTTACCGGGACAATTTTTAGATCAACTCGCACGGTGAATGTAGCGCACAGCCATTACCAGGGAAAAACCAAAACACTTTCTTTTTCACAAATAAGTCTCGCAGCTTCTCGTTGTTTCTATTTTTAGAACGGGGATTATTTTTTACAACATCCGGAACCTGTACGCATTGGCAGAGGAGATCTAGCATACAGCGCAATTAACTCACCGCATTCACATCTATCGCAATCACCTGTGGGTTTGCTTTTGTTCCTGGATCCTTGGACGTAATGACATAATCTCATTATGTCCATGATGGATCTAATGGAAAGCCAAAAAATAAAACACCAGTTCTGTTCAATCCATTTTTATTCCAGTGATAAATGAGAATTTAAACATTTATATTTACACACTAAAGAATAAAAACTTCAAAATATGAAATGTTTTTGAATAAATATCATTCAGCTAATTTTATCAGCTGAACGATGTTTTTCTACTTTTCAACCACTTTTTCTTGTACTAGTATTGTCAATCTATAAGGCATTCTATTGTCCAGTTTACAATAAATACATTTAAAGAAATCCAATGTAATTATAAATGTATGTAATATATAAAGGTCTTAATTAAATTTTATTATTTTAATTGATATTAAATGTTGCTGCACATATAAAATATTGTGTATGGCAAAGAAGTTAAGGTTACAGCATCTGAATGTATATAGAGTAAATTAAAATTATTTATATATTAAGAACACTTTATCTTTTCAGCACACTTAGCTGAATGAAATCAGAAAATATCAGGAATTACTCAATCTATTCAATGGGGAAAATTCTGAATTTTACAGATACTGTATTTTTTAAACCGTAAATTCTGAAAATTCAGAAAATTAGAACATTCCTGTTGAGTGGTAACAACACAACTAAAAAGCAGGATACCTGATAGTTCTATTCTATACAGAGAAAATACCTGTACCACAATGATTCCAAAATTATTTATCTGAAAAATTGATATTTTCCATCCTTGAAAAGATCTTGTTTTATCACAATGCAAAGTAATGCTGCAGGAATGTGTGATTTATTGAATTTCTAATTCAATAAAGTTTTCAAATAATTTTCTAAAAATGTCCTGCCTATCGTGACTATTGTAGTTTGGAAATCCTGCGCCTCAGCCACTCAGCTTCATCAGTAATTCCATACTTTTCACAAAACACCAACATATTCTTGTAACGTTCCACAATATCAAACGCCAAAGAATGGTGAAGTTTCCGTAAGCATACAGGACACAAAAACAGCAACTTCCTGTCAAATTCCATCAGATGATTGGAGCCATTCATGATACATTTAAAATAGATACAATGTCGCAATCCAAACATGTGACCGATCTCGTGACACATGAGAAGACATGCCCTTCGTATCAAATTCGCTGATGCCACACTGACAAGAAAAAGAAAGAAAATGTAACAACTGAAAAATGTAACAACTTCAACTTAACCACAGCTAACTTGAAAACAAGACATTCATTTGGATTTCCCAAAGTTAATCAAAATGCCAAAAGGATGACCAAATTATTAATTTTATTATCATTATTTTGGTGCTGCATTTGGGGGGAAGGGGATCCAAAATGACTCCAAATTAAAAATTTTGTAAACACCCTTCTTATATTGTACATATATATATATACAGTAAAATGACTGAGTAAAGATTATTACCTCTCTCCCCCCCCCCTCCCTTTGAGTATTTAAATCAGAGTTAGTACATGTAATAACTTACCTTTCCTCCTCTGTCTCCCCCTCCTCCTCCTCCTCCTCACCAAACCCAGGCAGGTACCTTGCTAGGGAGTAGACCCCACAGCGAGATGACAGACTGGCCAGACCAAAGACAAAGTTCCACTCTTCCCTGGGGTACAGATCACACAGTGTAATACCAGCCACACAGTAGGAGTTCTCTTGTACTAGACCTAGCATGTGGAGCAGGATGTGCTCAGCATTTACCTGAAACAACAACACTACTGATGTCATATAAAAAAGATTTTGCTATTGAGATTTTAGAATTCATTGAAGCATTGGTGAGAGGTGGGTGGGGTAATGGAGAGGTAGGGGTGGGGGAGAAGGGAGTCCTCTTGTACCAGACCTAGCACCTGTAACAGAATGTGCTCAGCATTTACCTGAAACAACAACACTACTGATGTCATATAAAAAAGATTTTGCTATTGAGATTTTAGAATTCATTGAAGCATTGGTGAAATGTGGGTTGTGGAGAAGGGAGTCCTCTTGTACCAGACCTAGCGGGGCCATAGCAATAGTCCGAAGGTTCAATAGTCCGAAGGTTCATTGGTCCGAATGTTCACCACAGAATCTTCGGACCAATGAACCCTTGATTAAAAAAGTGATGAAAATGTTATCGTTTTTCGGACCAATGAACCTTCGGACTATCGAGACACCCCTGACCTAGCACGTGTAACAGAATGTGCTCAGCATGTACCTGAAACAAAGTCACTGCTAATTAATATACAAAAGATTTAGCTTTCATTGAAGATACAAGGGGAAAGGGGTGAAGAAGTGGAGGGGTGAGTGGAGAATAGGGGAGGAGGGAGTGGAGGGGTGAGTGGGGAATGGGGGAGGAGGGAGTGGGGAGGGGGAGGGGGAATGGGGGAAGAGGGAGTGGAAGGAGGGAAGGTGGTTAAAGTAAGTCTCTGCGGGGATGCATGGTTTAAATGCATTTTTTTTAAACATTTGTTTAAACAGTAACTTGCTTCAATATGATTATATGATAATTTTAAAGTATTCATCTGTGTATCAATTAATAAACAAACATAAAAGAAATAAAGAAACAAGTCAATTATCCACCTGTTTGTGTCCTGTATCAGGATTTTTACGATGAACAACTTTCTTGGCAAAATATTTCCCCTTCAAAATCTTCACTTTCATCCCCAAGAAAAAATACGAGGCATACTCCTTCAACGCCTCTAATGCATCATCTGGCACCGACTTCTCGAAGAACCTCAACGGCAGCAGGTGAATTACGTTGCGCTTAGCATCGGGTTTATTGTGGGGTTGTGCCACAAACTGTTCGAAGGTCTGACCCTTCTCAGGGTGGTGAGCTAACCAGTCCATGTCGTGCGGCTTTGGCATAGGGAGAAATAGGTCAGGGTCTGGAATGATGGGAAATGATTGAATACTAAAAAGAGTTACTGTTTTTTTTTTTTTATTGACACAATACATCACGAATACATGACAATACAAAAACAAACAAACAAACACTCGCTTACACACTCATACATAAGAGATGTCATACTATATAACACTTTTTAATTAATTACATCATCGTACCTTAAATATTCAAATTGAAAATAACTTAATAATATTTGAATTGTACTGACAGAGTGAATTATCTGTTTTCACCAGATATCTAAGCGATGAAATCAAACCTCCTAATGTTGGTTTACCCTGTGAACATCTTCTTAGATAAATATAAATTAAATTTAAATTGCAACATAATGAGATTAATAATTGGAGAGAGGCTCATAGAGCCGACTTAGCCATTCCTTTTTGAGACAGGTAGAGTAATTTGAGTATTAGATAATATATATATATATAAAAAAAGAGTTACAGCATCAATCGGAGTGGCGGATTTAGAGGGGGGGGGAGGAGGTCAGGGGGGTCCTGATCCCTCCTTCGATTTCTAAAAAAATCTATCATACCATTATTCTCCTCTTGAAACTAGAATTTTTGACTGTGGCTAAATCATCACTCTAAACCGTACCAAAGGGCACAGTTTCCCCTCCAAAACAATAAAAATTTTTCGGGGTCCTTGAGCAGCCTTGAACCCCATGTCAAGGGGGTGATGTTTGGCTTCGTATCCTAGGCCTGTCATTCTGGACTCCCCCTCCCTTCAAATAATTCTGGATCCGTCCCTGAATCGCGTTTGATATTTGTGACATACTGCTGGTAGATCAAGACTATGAATGAGGAGAAGCTGTCATCATATTTTTTTCGCTGATATTCTGTGACTTGTTCAGTGTACACAAGCTTGTATTGGAATTGAATTATTTCATTCATTACATAACACCAGTAGTTCACTTGTTCCCCCTTCATAACTTGACTGACAAAATTTATATCTTAAAAGATATATTATATATAATAATATCTGGTATAAGAACTTTTGGCCAAATGTCTTCATTGTATTGCCTGTTTTGTTTGAAGCAATATGTCTTTTAATTTATGTATACACAGTACACAAAAAAAGCATGAGCATGATAGTATATACACATGTGTACATATAATATATACACATAAATCACTAAGTAGTGATATTCAAGTTATCCTGCATTCCTTTAATTATGGCAATAAGCAAAAGAGCCCCACACCTGGAGTCAGAGCTTTCAGCAAGTCTGCCGATGGTTCGGCTTGACTTCTCCGGTGCATGTAAAGTCTACTGTGTTCTAGAATATAGTCATCACTGCTTATTGTAGCTGCTCTGGCCTTTGATCTTGTTACTTTTTCTGATGAAGCGGCACTGGTACTAGAGAGATGCTGTAAACAGGAAAAAAACATGTTGAAAGTTAATGTATATAAACAGATAATTATGGTTTTTATAAAAATAAGATAATGTAATATAATGGAATGGAATGTAATGCAATGCAATGCAATGCAATGCAATATTATGAATATAAACAAATAAAAATGTTTCTATAAATACAATACAATACAATATACACCCCATTTCCATAGATTTTTAGATCGATCTATCCCTGTGGGGAGTCTCACTAGATTACTGTCAGCTTGGCCGGCTTAAGCGTCAGTCCCGCCTACTAAAAGCTGTAAGGGGGTAATTAACTATGGTGCCCGCTCGGCTGACTGCAATTTAGAGTGAACCCCCAAGGAGTTAGGTCGCTCTAAATCTTAATCTCTAGATCAATCTAAATCTCTGGGAAAGCACCCATAGTTAATGCTGAACCATGATTGTTACCTTTTTCTTCCTGATCCCAATAGCACCCAAACGTTCATCTTCTCCTGGGGGCTTAAAGTGTTTTGGCATGTGGACAAATGAACCCCGGCGACTGCAAAGTTGATAAATTCTTGTGCAGTACTTATTTTCATAAGTAATTGATAAAAAGTATCTCAAAAGATTGTAAAAGTCTGTACATGCATTTAAGGGTATATATCTTTCATCTGATATGGGACATAAAAACATGAATCTTGTTTAAATTTTGTAAGTGGTATTATAAGGTTGTGGGAGGCTGTGTTATATGAAGAGGTCAATTAAGTTATAATTGTGCGAATTAACACAGATATATATATATATATATATATATATATATATATATATATATATATATATATAGCCTGATAGTCTGATACTGAAAACCTGAAATGTGACACGACCTAAGTCACGTGGTAACAGCAGACTGGCTGCTACTCCTGTCAATTTTACTTTCACTTTCGCATTTCAAATGCAATCTTTCTCTTAAATTTTACATGATATACCACAGGAAGGAATGAACATTATTAAAATATAAAGTCATTTCCGTTTCTTTTGGCAATTTTTATAATCTTAAACTGACGATGTCATAGTAAATCATTTATTTTATCATCAACACCAATTGCTAATAAGTAGGCAACGTTCGTCGTAGCTCTAGTTACTGGTATTAATTAAAAAAACTAATAAACATCTTTGTTCCATCACACACGTTAAACGCAGCGAACATCTTCCATAAGCTACTTAAACTGATGTGTTATTGTCTCAATAAAAAGATGATAAATAAATTACAAAATACTAACTTTAATTAAAGACGTAGAACGGACTCGAACCCAGTGACTCGAACCCAAAAGGAATGCGGCTGTTCTCTAACAAATAGAGTCCCGAAAATTAATTTTCTGCGGCACTATTCTGTTTGCATGGAAAGTTGAGAAAGATATCTTGAATCATATTATTTTACCATTTTTACTGATTTAACTTCCACAGCCAACAATGTCACTACGTTACCCGTACAAGATGTCATATAGGAAGCTTCGGGGCACTTTTGGTCCTGGTGGCGGGCCCTTGGCGAGGATAACGAGACTGAGAATGGTGGTCACATCGTTAATTCGCCACGAGAGGATTGAAACAACGTGGAATAAAGCCGCCGAAGCCAGAGATTATGCAGAATTGGTGGGTTTGTGATGGAATACGCCTAATTCACCTTTGCTGGTCGTATGTGCAAGGGACTGCGAACGATCTATAGCTTGATATATATTTTTAGAGCATTTGCATACAATTTGCATACATTTGCATACAATTACAGGCACAAGAAAATTAAAATTATTTTCTAAAAGGGTAAAATTCGAAAGCCTCCCTGACACGAATTAAGTTCATGCCTAAGCACTCCTATTTTCTATCACATAAATCCATACAGTGACATTTAAGTGTTATGATTTGTGATAAAACATGAACAAACCATTATTTTAACAATTAAGGTCCATTGTATTCAGCTTGTATGTGGGGGCTCTCTATTCACATTGTAGTGCCAGACGTAGGGTAGAACCAGCTGGATAGCTCAGGCAGTAGAGCACTTGCCCTGTTAGCGAGAGGTCCCGGGTTCGATCCCTGGTCTGGTAGGTTATTTTTCAACACTTCCCCCAAAAAGGCGCACAACAATCTTACCTCTCTCAGCTATGTTACATCACCTATTTAAGTAATGTTATTTCTTCCTTTTTAAACTTGATTGCAGTTAATTCAGAGGGCAATAAAAAATGGTGACAAGCACGGCCCCACAATGGAGCTGGCAGACTTCTGGCTACTGGTGAGTAAACGGGTCGATACTGCACCTAAGTAGCATTGAATAATGAAGTGGCACTGCATTTGTTGGGGTGAATTAAAATATTTCCACTGTATATAGATGTCACTGTGCTGTGTGGCAGTTTAAAGAAGTTGCTGTAATGTTGTATTATCTTTTCTGATTGGTAAATGCAGTGTACTTAGTGAACCTGAACTGGTATCTAAATGAAATAAATGTCCTCATCCCACCCCCCTCTCCTTTGCCACACACACACACACACACACACACACACACACACACACACACACACACACACATAAAGCAATCTTAAATATTAAGATACCTTTGGGAATAGCTTATATAAGCAGTTAGTGTGTACATTTTAAGAGAGATTCCCTGTTCCAAATTTCTTATTAGAAATTTCTGTGTGTATTATCAGTCCACTGCAATCTTTAGAACTACATAAAAAGTGCCTCAACTTTTATTTCTGCCATTTTGTAAAATCTAAAACATATTACATTTCAGGAAAAAGATCTAATTCACAAGCTGTTCAAGGTGTTCGTACCAAGGTTTGAGAAATGTCCCACAGCCTTCACCAAAATGTACCGACTGCCGTATGTATATCCAGGCAAAGGCAGAGAGATGGGCCTGCTGGAACTGAAAGGTGGGGAAAGGACTGTGTTTTTTTGTTGTTTTTTTTTAACAAACAAAATATATTAATTTCCTGTAACAACTTTCGACCTCGTTCCGTTTTATATAAGCCAAATGCTGATGTGTACTGTACTTGGCCATTAAAATGTGTTTTTCTTTTTTATTTTGAAAAAATTATTATTGATATAGTTCCCATTTAAATTAAAAATCTTCTAGTTTCTTGGTCGTTTGTTCCTTGTCCATTGGGCAAATACTGGTTACATAGGGCTCTGGTGACAATCTTCAAGTTACGTACACACAAACCTCTGCAACCAGTTTGACCAGTATGTTACTCATTGATAAAATGCATTATTTTATGTACTTTTATTATCTTTTATGCCATAAACAGGGAATCCGTGGCCACCCGTCCTTCCTGAAGCCATTGACAAAAGCAAACACATCAACAATGTTCTGCTCAACGCAGCGAGGCAAGACTTTCGCATGGAGCAGTACAAGTCCATGGACATGAGCAGTGACAGATGGCACAAGGAAAGTGTCAGTCAAATGTCTGCCGCCATGGATACTGTTGCTAAGGGGAGTGGTTTAGAGGAAACTGTTACAGACACTGAAAGCTTACTTTCTGATGAGATAAGGGAAGAAAAAGAAGCACAAGAAATGCGAGAGCTGCAAAGAAAAATTGACAGTTTGAAGAATCGTGGTAAAAAGAAACACCGAGATGAAGACGATGATGACGATGATGATGGGACTTATGTCTAGAATAGAATTAAGTGACACACCAACATTATGATTATGAAAAAAAAAATGTTAAGAGATGTTAAGTACATCAGTTTAGAAAGATTGGTAGAAGTTTGGGTCTATAAGGACCACAGAATATGTCCTCTTTTGACATAAAATGAAAAGTGTTCAGAGTGATTTTTGTCGATAATTTGAAATGCTTGGTTCTCAGTTATATTACTGACCCAGCTTAGAATTTGTTGAAAAAAATTGCTAGGAAGCAGCAGTGCAAAATGCAAGTTATTGTTATCACTGTATCAGAAGAGCTACTGGAGTAAAAATAAAAATTCATTTAGATTCCTCTGTTCTCTTGTGTAATGATACAAAATGAGTCCAATACTGGTTAAATATTGCACTATTTATTACTTATATATTTAGTACTTTCCAAATTTATTATAAATTTACAGTAAATATTGATCTAAATGTTTTAAAAGTGTAAATATTTATTTAATAAATGGTTTGTAATTATAAACCGCCCATAAATAAGCTAATACAATAATTCCTTAGATGTCAATTGCAGAATGCAACAGTTGATAAAACAGGTGTATAAAATGTAAGTATACTGGAAAAAATGTGACAAATTAATGCAAAACTAATAATAAGGTGAGTAATGATAATATTAATCACTGATACTTCCTGAACTGAACAAAAAAAGAAAAAAAAAAACAAACTTCATTACTGAAAAACTGAATTGTGGCCAATGATTTAAATCGTGTTTACAAATTGTGAAATGATATAAGATTAATATTACACTAATTATTGTTAACTCGTGACAAGAGAAAGACTAAAATAGCTAAATTAAAAATATCTGGGTACACATGTTGGACCAGTTTGACCTGGCTTGCGAAAAACCTGATAATTAATGAACTACACATAGGCACAACTACCTACTTGCCTGATTGGTAAATATTTTCTGATCAACTTGAAATGATAATTATGAAGAATAAAATTATTTATAACACATGCACTGGCAGAGAATACAATAACACATATACTATGGTATGTCATGGTAACACTCAGCACCTTGACAAGATATCACTTCAACAAATATCAGGACATCTTATTAACACATCAGTCCATCTTAGACCCCATTCCCATAGATATTTAGATCGATCTATCCCCCTGGGGAGTCTCACTAGATTGGTGTCAGCCTAACCGGCTTAAATGCCTGTCCCACCTACTAAAAGCTGTAAGGGGGTAATTAACTGTCGTGTGCGCTCGGCTGACAGCAATTTAGCGTGAACTCCCAGGGAGTTAGGTCGATCCAGATGGATCGATCTAAATCTCTGGGAATGCACTCTTATTCTGCAACACCTACATACCCGCACCTTCCTTTTGGTTTATTTTCTTCACCTATTCTAAACTCCAATAAATCCTAATCAAAACCTTATACTATACCATATTAAAATAGAATAAATTCACAAAAACAAAACCCGTTTGGTCTGACTAAAATAGATGCACCAATTTGATAATTGTATGATATTTGAGATTGAGGACTTTTTGTTTTAAGTTGATTTGCATTGGCTTCATGTCCTCATAAGTAAGTCTACTAGCAAATAAATAAATAAAATAAGACAAATTTTATCATTAGCTTTAATGCAAGTAGTAGCTGCACATGAGATGAATACAATGAAAGAGCAAATAATAAAGCATCTTCACTTTATCAAAGGCAAGAATCTGATATGCCAGGATTTACCCACAGTGAAAAAAAAAAAAAAATACAACTGTTAGTGCCGTACATTTTCTCTTATCACAGATTCTGTTGACAAGTTGATTAAAACACTGTCCTAGCACAATACTTAGGCTAAATAGTAAAATATGCACCCTTCTTAATCTCAAATCTGACAAATATACCAATACTTTGACAATGAGCTCCATTTGACCAGTAAGGAAAGTTTATCAAATATATACTTTAAATATACATGGGAATACATTTTGGGCATGTTTATGTAATTACACTTGATAAAAAAATTTTGACAATGTCTAAAGATAATCTGAAAGTGTTCAGAAAATTAAAACTCTACACCAAGAAAAATTAAGTAATTTTTGCAATAAACCAATCTGACACTTTGCTGAACAATACACTAATCCTCAGATTGTATAAATTCTCACCTTTATATAACTGAACATTTTTGGTAGAAAGGAAAATATTCTAAATAAAAAAAATGAGCACATCAACAAATTATTTTCCAAATATTACATATTTCCATAATTGAAGGTGTAATGAGTAGCAATTCTTCACCTGAATGAGCTCAGAAACAGCATGACAAGCTTACCTGACTCACTTATAGTTCATTCATTGTTACAGCAATAATCCTAGCAATACACAGGTCAACAGATCATGATCCAAACACCTCCCTAATCCTAGCAATACACAGGTCAACAGATCATGATCCAAACACCTCCCTAATCCTAGCAATGCACAGGTCAACAGATCATGATCCAAACACCTCCCTAATCCTAGCAATACACAGGTCAATAGATCATGATCCAAACACCTCCCTAATCCTAGCAATACACAGGTCAACAGATCATGATCCAAACACCTCCCTAATCCTAGCAATACACAGGTCGGCCCCCTGCTTCGCCTCCTTACTGATCATGACAAAGTTCAAGAAGCCGTGGGGTAGATCGTCCAGGATGTCAAGTTTTACAGGGCGGTTAATGGCCTTGAGCCTCTTGGCCAGGGACACTGAGTCGTCCACTACAGGGTCAAGGTGGCTGGACTGAAATGGACAATGGCACAAATTAATATGGCACCTGCACGAGCTAGAATTAATAATATACAGAGGAGGTAACATCAGTGGTATTGAAACAGTCTCACAGATTAATATGGCATCTACACAAGCTGGGAAACGATACACAATAATATACAGAAAAATTTATATTAGGTGACACTGAAGCATGAATTTCATATAAAATTTAACCTGAATATATCTATCCATATATATAACATTATGCTGCCATTCTTACCACTAAGAAGACAGGAGGCAGCTTCCTGAGCATGTGGTCCGTGGCCAGGAGAGGGGACATGTATGGGTCCTTAGGCAGCTCAATATGGTGGAACTTTAACAGTGGACTCTCCTCAGGTGTACACTCCAAGGCATACAGGGGGACCCAGTCACCTGTCCTCGGGGACACCCCTGTAAATATGGCAGGTGTGTTAATAATGATAATATACAGGGGGACCCAGTCACCTGTCCTCAGGGACACCCCTGTAAACATGACAGGTAAGTTAATACTAACAGTATTGCTACAAGTGTGTATTAAAATCCCAATATCTTACTGCTCATAGAGTGGAGGAATAGCTATCAATAACACATGCTAGATAAGACAATGTCATTAAAAGAAAAGAAGCCTCTCTCTCTCTCTCTCTCTCTCTCTCATTCCTCAAGGTACCCTGTAATGCCTTCACACACATACATTTCTGCTTATGATATTATTAACATCACAATAACTTGGCACATTCCACTCACCTACTACAGCCTGCTGCTTGTATTTCTCCTGTCCATACATAACACTGTGTAAGTTGGGTGAAGATGGACTCCGTGTGTGAAAAATCTTCTTCAGTGGGGTAGGTAAGGATTTGGGGGGAAGAGTAACTGTATTTTTTGCCTTTGAAAAAGTGACCTTCAAGTCCCCAAATCCTTCACTTTTGCCACTTGTTGGAGCAGACTGTCCTGTCACATGGACCCCTGGGATTGATGGAGTATTATGGGATGTAGTCCTTGGATTTGATGAGGGACTCCCCACACTAAAATCAGATCCTGAACTGCAGGAATAAAAGTCAACAGGGTCACCTAAACTATCCAAAGAAGTTTTTCTGACAAATGGGCTCACATTTTCTGATGTTTTTACATCTTCAATTTTAAGATCACCTAAATCAATGTCAAACATCCTTTTTTCATTCCCTGTTTTTGTTTTCACATCACTGGCCATTTCATCCTCTGTTAAAGTAAGTTCTGGTGTTGTTTCCTCTAGCTCTTCATTTTCCACCACCTCAGAAAGAAGTCTCTTCCTGTGGGGAGAGTCAATCTTACATGATGTGTGCACTTTAAGTTTCTCCAAGGTCAGATCTGGTGCACCTGTCAAATGAGGGGCACCCAAATCTTCCTGTCCTGATTTTTTGTCTACATCCACCACGGTTGGACCACACAAACGGTGAAGAGCTATTTTTCCATTGTCTGCTATTTGATTTTTGCTTTCTATTCTGATTTGTGCACCTTTGTTTGATGAATCTTTTTCAGTGCCATGTAGAGATTTACTGCAAGACTGTGATTGTGGCTCATCTTGGGGCTGAAGTAAGGGCTCTTCAGCAGGCTCTGGTTCCCTCCCATCTTTGGATTTCTTCAGCAGATCAGAGGCACTTTTCTGAGATGCTAGAATTTCTTCTTCAGTTACACCCACATAAGCTGAAAATACCAAGGCCATCATCAATGTAAACTTAACATAAGCAAGCATGAAGTTGGCATTAAACTTCATTTCAGTTTGTATAGAACTCATGAAGGTGTATGTTATGCTACTGTACCTTTATCATAATTTTTTCGTTTTGATTCAGCTTTTATAGTATCACAGCACAAAATCTTCATCTATGTGGGAGGAACAGATATATAAATATAAATAAGTTAACAAAAGGAGACTGGTGAAAATATGTTATGATGCTACCTCCTAGCACCCTGGTCAGCATCCCCACAGGAATGAGAGGATCCATGATACTGAGTATTCTAGAGGGAGAGGGTGAGTATCTGACCATAAAACAGCCGTATGCTCCAACCAGGCCGTCTGGAACACGTATTCCAATCTCCCCAGCCCAGAGAGCTGTGGAGAGAATGAGGTTCCCACCTGCACTGTCCCCAACCAGACAGATCTTCTCTCCTGTAGAACCTGGGATGATCAAATTAACGTTAAAAAAAATTTCAATTTAAATGCCTCACTTTTATCTTAATCAGTGCTTGACTTTAAAAAAAAAAGATAAAGATAGGATTTTTAAGTCACCCCAATTAATTATAGCTGATAATAATTTGTAAGGCCCTTTTCATATGCAGTGGTATACTTAAGGGATACAGTGTATAACTAAAAAGCTTGGCTATTATGTAAAACAGTCAAAAGGGAGTAAACCCCCTGTAGCATAATAACATGTTAGGTACTCTCACAGTGTATTCATGCAAACTGTATAGTTAAACTATTCTGTCTAAGGTAATAAATAATAAGGGCATGACTATCTCTTCCACTGATAGCCACATTACCCAGTATATGACAATTCTGCAGTATCCATGCGTAGGCAAAGAAGCACTCCTCTATGGCGCGGGGGTAAGGGCTGTCGGGGGCGAGGGAGTAGTCAATGGCAACCAGAGGCACTTTAAGGTCACATGCCCACTCTCTGAGGTAAGTCTGAAATATAATACAATGTTTACTTGTACTATTATAATAATAAGGAGTAGTCATAGCAACCAGAGGCACTTTCAGGTCACAGGCCCACTCACTCTCTGAGGTAAGTCTGAAATATGATACAATATCAACTTGTACTATAAGGAGTAGTCATGGCAACCAGGGGCACCTTCAGGTCACAGGCCCACTCTCTGAGGTAAGTCTGAAATATAATACAATGTTTACTTGTACTATTATAATAATAAGGAGTAGTCATAGCAACCAGAGGCACTTTCAGGTCACAGGCCCACTCTAAGTCTGAAATATAGCACAATGTTTACTTGTTTACTTGCTAAATCCAAAATCAGTTTCATATCATAAATCACTTACTTCATGAGATTTTGAGCTCTGAGCTACGAACCCTCCTCCATGACACTGTATGAGGAGATACGGGGACTTGGGCTGGACTTTTCTGTTGTTTACAAATTTTCCTCCTTTTTGGTCCTTGAGGTAAGGCAACAGCAACTCCTGGGGGCAGATAGATGATAATATGCAATAATTCTTGGCAAGAAAAGTCAAAATTAAGGAAAAATCACAAAATGTGCCAGATATTTTAGGTACTAACTGCAAGCACTGTCTGTCAAGATTAAAACCAACTATTAAATGAATCTTAAAAATAACAAAGCAACAGTATGTTCAAATTGTTAAAGATGAAATATTTCAAAACTGTTGTGAAGATATGCTATACATGACTGCTAACAGTAAAGGACCTTGGATAAAACAGAAAGCATATTATTCAAAGAAAACAAAAAGAAAGCATAAAAAGTTTTTAAAACCTCTTCCTTTCTATTCTATTCCAGAGGTCTCACCTGTCCTTCTCTGTACACCTGTGATATCAGCCGCACCTGGACGGGACCAGGGCCGTGGTGGGACTGCGGGGGGTGGATGGTCACATGACCAATGCTCTGAGACTTGGGAATGTCTACAGCTTTGGCTGGGATCAGGAGCACCTCGTTGACTTGTACAGAGGGACAGACATAGTCTGGTAATGTCTGCAAAACACAATATTATAATTATACTATTATGATAACATGAGACTTTGGCTGGGATCAGGAGCACCTCATTGACTTGTACAGAGGGACAGACATAGTCTGGTAATGTCTGGAGAACACAATAATTACACTATTATTATGATGTCATGAGACAATAGAAAACACCAATCAAAAATTTAATATTAAACTTGTCTTTACTTTAACATTTTCTACAAGTTACTATGCTTTTTGTCATAACATTTGACGTCGAGATTTCCACTTTAGCTTTACAAATTTATTTCAATTTCAAGTGTCCTTACGTGCATCATCTGTGTCTCAGCCAGCCCCCAGAACCCCTTACAGAACCTGATGTCCTCAGTCTTAGTTGTCACAGACACCTGTTTACCCCTCAGGTCAGGGTTCAGTAAATATTTCCCACCACTGAGGATTGAACCAGTCAGCTTTCCTAGCTTAGACTTGTCCTGTTTGTAAAGCTCACTGTACACAGCCATTGTGATGTGAAGTACTTGGAAAGGTCTTAGCATGGACTCACAATACTAAAATTACAAATAGATTCTTAACACCATGGGTGAAAGGTGTACAAATTGATAATCCTGAAAATGTAAATGACCAGACCCCAGATGGCTAGTCTATGTTTAATTGAGACAACGGGGGCGTCTCGATAGTCCAAAGGTTCATTGGTCTGAAGGTTCATTGGTCCGAAAAGTGGTAACATTTTCATCGATTTTTTAATCAAGGGTTCATTGGTCCGAAGGCTCTATAGTGAATATTCGGACCAATGAACCTTCGGACCAATGAACCTTCAGACTATTGCTACGGCCCCGAGACAACTATGTACACTTTGAATATTTAAGTGAGGATAACTGGAGGGGAGTGACTTTTTAAAAATTCTAGACAAAAAAGAAAATAATTTTATCAGTGTCAATTTTGCTAAATACTATACAGTACTAGTAAGTATACGTGCAAGAAAAAAAAAGAAGCTATACTCTGTTCATTATTGTCTGCCATGGAGAATGTTCCTTTCATGTATAGAAAGAAACTTCACAATAGCTTCACAGTCACATCTACTCTCTAATTAATGAATTATACATCACTGCTTAATTAGAGGCCACATGTTATAAGATAACAATCTGGACATTACTGAGAAGTAATTCACTACTTTTGTACACCACTGATTCAGTTATAACCTGTTAGGCAAGTTGTTGAAATGCCACTTCTCATTAGAAAAATATGCAATTCTAATAAAAGGAATTTGAAATATTTCAAAATAGTAATGATCACAATTTTATGCAAATAACTTTTTATGAACCAGATACAGTAGCAGTACTAGTGCTACGACTACATTTTTTAAACTTTGATCCAAAATTTACATAGCTTCTGAGGACCAACTAGTTATTGACAGGGCTTAAAACAATAAACAAACAACAATGAACAAACCTGAAATCCTAGGCACCGCCCATAAAAATACTGAGCGTCTATGCACTCCGACTCAGCCATGAGTCTCTCAGCAGTCTCATTCCCACGGAACTTGTTATCATCACTGAATAACTCCCCAACTTCACAATACCCCATAAGCTTTACCGCATAAAACATTGCTGCCCGGATCTGTCCTAGACAGTTCACGTATGCAGACAGTTCTCGGCTATAGTGTCCACAACGAAACAAGAAAGATCCCTTGTTTACTGATATGTACCTACAAAGTACTAGGATGTGCACACAGCACTTGTGAAGGACTTTGATGATGCTTCTGTAGCCGTTCGCTGGCGTGAATTCGTCATAGTCGTAAGTATGCATGTCTTGTAAGAGTCGATCCAGAAATTGATCAACCCCGCTGTCAGAGTCCAGGTGCTCCAATAAAGTGCAAAACATTTTGTAAAATTTATCATGGTTATGATGTTTATGGCCTTCAAAGTACTCCATATTGCTGAAAGCTTCAGATCTGATGTCCCTGAAGAGATTAGAGAGCGCTCGTCTGAAATTTTCGTCATCTTCTTGCACCGAAGAAGGTAACTTCTGCTCGGTCTCTTCCATCTTGAAGGTATAACACCCATGTAGGCAATTCGAAGTATATTCATATTAAAACCAAAATGATGAGAGGCATATTTTCAAATTGTTATAAGCCTTAATTGTCATATTATCTGTGCCTAACTTCACAACAATTATTTAATTTAATGTTATTGCATATGTTACGAACAATTCCCATTTCTATCAGTCGAAAACTGCTATTGCAGCCTACATGGATCATAACCCAAATTGCAATTCCGCAGTGGTAAATAAACCAGTCACATGACCATCGTATGATCAATTTAGGAAAATAACCAAAAATTTACACACATCACTCGGAATCAAAACTCATCCAACACTTCTTTTCTTGCTTTTATTATCCAAGTAAATTTTGAAAATGTACAATTCAATCTTCAAAAATTATCCTCAATATAGGCCAATGGAAAATGCACATGTTGTTGTATGCCTGTTCACCTGGCGAGCAAGTGCACTTTCAGTTCGCAAAAGTTGTCGTCGGGACGGATGCATTTATTCAGCTCAGAGAAACGCGGCAAGGATGCGACAATGCCAGGTCAAAAATATGTAGTTTTAACTCTGTGATTCTGATTTGGTAAGGATGAGTGGCGCTTGCAACGCTGAAAAAACAGGGGGCGATTTCGTCAACAAACAAAAATGGCTGAAGATGTTTTTGTTTTGATTCTATTTTTAGACGTCAGATTTAAAGGGCCAGCTTCAGATGAAAGCAAGAAGCCTTTTAAAAGGTTATATTTTACATCAGTTAGAGCCCCTTTAAAGTTTCTCGTTGGACAAAGTCCCTTAAGCCATTTATTTCTATTTTCTAGAAAGGTGAAGGTCACTTAATTTTTTTTTTACATGGACACGAAAGTTTCTTGCACGTTCGTATTTTTATGATATAAAGAACCAGGTAATCGTCTGATATTATTCTTCTCTTTTCAATACAATCAACTAAAGGTAAGATGCATAGTTTATTAAATGTCTTTAGTGTCAGTAAAAGCCAAGTTTTTGTGCTGGAGCTCTCTGATATCCCCATGTGCTGTACGTTGTTCTAAGGGACATTGATGAGTTTGTTACATAATGTGCTGTAACTCATTAATGGTGGGAAAGATTGCCCTGAAAGTGTGCTTATTTCTTCCTCTATCTTTGTTTAGCTACCAAAATTTCCTGACTAATGAGGCAGTTTTTCTGACAAGAAAAGATCAACCATGGCAGATGAAGGTGTAGATGAAATAGCAAGTAACAACCAACACAGTGACGTACTGCTCTCTGACTGTAGCAACAACCACACAGAGGGCAATATTCAAAACAATGACTGTGCAATTACAGCTAAAAATGAAACGAAGTCTCAGCTAGAAGGTCAAGGGTCATCTAATAACGTGAGACAAGGTTTGAAGAGTAAGAATAACACATCTGACCTTGACCTTGATGATACAGCTGACCTTGACCCTGCACCAGTTACTGACTCCCGAAGTGATGCCTCGATGGAGGTTCAGCATTTAGAATTAACAGGAATGAGAGAAGATGATAGTGGGATTAATGTTGAGACTGCTTCCCCTTCAAAAAGTGAAATATCTGACACAGATGTTACGAGCACCACAGATAGCGGCATTAACATAGCTCAGCAGTCCGACCCAGAGAGCATCAGTATAGCAGAGAGCATTAAGTTAGAAAATGAAGCCAGCGATGCTGGGAAAATTGACATTTTCTTGGACAATGATGAAGTAGATGACGATGATGACGATGATTTGATTTCTTCAGTCCAAACATTAGATCACCATAGTAACACTAGCACTCCTGTTCAAAGTAAAGAAACCACAGCAAAAGTATTAGTTTTACAAGACATTGACAATGCAACAAAAAGTGATAATAAAACAGACAGATCTCCAAATACTGACTCTAAAAGAGGTGACCTTGACCCAGAAACTGCGGGTCAAGGTCAAACCCCATCAGTATCTCAGACCTCTGACTTTAATGACGGCATGTTACCAGACATGGTTGACACTGATGACAGCAATCCCATAGGCCAGTATGACTTTAATGTTGATGAAGAAATGAAAGTGTATCGCAAACAAAAGCGTGATCGCAGGATGTCCACCTCGTCCAGTAGTGACGATGATCTCGATGATTTGGCTTTCGGTAAAGAAGAGGATGCTAAATTCAGTAGTGATGATGAGGATGAAGACAAAAGCAACATGGATTTAGACAATTCGAGTCCTTTGTTGAATAATTGGCATGCCTTGGGGCAGTTGCGGCAGCGCGAGTTAGGCGTGAGTAACTGGAAGCACCCTCGACTGTTTGCAATCGACTGCCATGCCAGTCTTTACATGGTTCAGAAACTACAGCTCCAGTATAAGATGGAGAAACACGATGGCTGTGTAAATGCCTTACATTTCAATGAAACTGGTAAGTTTACCACAGGGATGATTTTTTTCTCATGTGATAATACATGTATATAACTATAAGTAGTATGAATATTTTGATTTTTAAGAATATTTTAATAATTCAGAAAAAAGTTGGTCAGTATAACATTAAGTGTATATGAAATGGTAGCTGCTTCCTAAGTGGGTAACATTTTAAGCGGTGTTCATCAACTGTGGATTTTCTATTTGTTGTAATCCAGTAACATGTGATGCAGTGTATGGAAGATTTCTATCCTATACAAACCCTAATGCTGGTGGTAATAATAACCTTATTTCAAGGTACCAGAACTGTCAGTGATTCAGATAACTTGTTGTTTTCGTATTACTGAATCAGTCGCAGTTTGAGAAACTGTCTACCAAGCATGAAAAATTTGCAAAGCCTCTCTAATTTAACCATAATTACCCCAAGGCACCAGAATTTGCCAGTGGCTCAGTTGTTTTTCGTATTAGTGCATTGATTGTAGTTTGAGACATATGAAGTGTGAACTCTGTTAATGTTTGTTCATATTTGCTATTTATTGTCTGCAAAACCTCTCGAATATGCCTATCATTATTTCAAGGTACCAGAATTGCCAGTGGTTCAGATGACCTGCAGGTGATACTATGGAACTGGATGGAGAACAAACCGGCTCTGGCTTTTGACAGTGGACACAGGAGTAATGTGTTCCAGGTGAGATATCTTCATTCAAAGGTATTTATTTATTTATTCATTCCTTCATTCATATCACTAGTCATTCATTCACTCCCTTATGTCATTGATGTGCACACCCACAGTCCTTTTCTTAGAAGCACAAATTTACTCATTTATTTATATTTGTTTATTCACTCCTTTATGCCAGCATTTTTTTCCTTAAAAGCAGGAACTTACCCGTCATTCTTGAAAAGTGTTTGAAATCAGATTTATGCTCAAATAAAGTAGATCCTGAAGCACTGTTCTCATAAGTAGCATGCTGTCTGTTGTCTTTGCCAGGCCAAGTTCAAGCCTTGCAGTTTATGCCACTATTCACATATATATTTATTGTTGTCTTCACCAGGCCAAGTTTATGCCATATAGCGGGGACGCACACATCGTCACATGTGCTCGTGATGGTCAGGTGCGCTTGGCGGAACTTTCGCTGACTGGAGTATGCAAAGAAACCAAGAAACTGGCCCAACACAAGGGGGCAGCACATAAGGTGAATGATGTCGCATTTTTTATATGGCGTTGTATATTTTTACACTGTACACTGAGTTTAATCTATGATGAAAGTGAAGTCTTTGAAGATATCCCTATTTTCCAAGATATTTTGTTCTCTCTTTAATATAGACAATATCTGCTTTTATAACTTGTGAGTCTGTTATACCCATTTCTATAGGTTTATATAGTGTGATTCTGAAAGCGTGCATTTTTTTCCAAAATTCAGCATATGCATGCAGTTTAGGTTATTCTCTAGTAGATATTCTATAAACCCTGGTCATTGTCCCCTTCCAGCTGTCTGTGGAGTATGACAGCCCCCATGTTTTCCTGAGCTGCGGTGAGGATGCTGTTATCTTTGAGATGGATCTTAGACAGGACAAAGCTAATAAGTAAGTCAGGCCTGTGAAGACCATAAACTATTTAATTTTTATTAGCTTTGAAACCATTTTAAGTGTCTCTTGCTTGGAGACTTGGTTAAGTTCCAATTTTGAGCATATCAGGAATGTATTTTCTCTCCATAAAACCATAAAACTTCATTTTTTTCACAAGACCTGATGTTGTATTTGATAGCTTTTGCTTTCAGATAAGACTAAGAGCTGGCATTGAGTGCATCTTTGTAGTGTGTTATGAGGTGATAAATAATCGTTGAGTGTTTACAATTTCCAGGATTGCTATGACCAAAGAGAATGATAAGAGAGTGGCTCTGTACTCCATCCATGCTAACCCTATGAATTCTTTTGAGTTTTGTGTGGGAGGAAGAGATCATTTCATCAGGTGACTGCTTCCTAGCTTCTCTTTGATTATCTTGTTGATTGAGTAACTGAGTAAAGTCATTTTCTTTAAGATATTTGTGCACCTGCATATCTGTACCTCTCCAGTAAAATAGATTGACTTAAGTGAGTGTAGATTGGAGTGTTGTTTTATGAAAGAAAAGAAAGAATACATAGACGCTGGTTGTTGTTAGTGGACATTTTACCAAATCTTAATGTTTTAGAATTTATGACAAGAGGAAGCTCAGTGAAGATGAAAATGGTATTGTGAAGAAGTTCTGTCCACATCACCTGGTAAGGAGGAAGTTTTTTTCAGGAAAATATTACATTAGAAATAGAATAAATATAAGTCTATTATCTAATTATGTAATAAAATAGCACCAGTGTACTGTATTGTATCATTTTCACATAGTAATGACATATTGACAGACCCTTTGGTTTTATCTCGTAGGCTCATGTTTGTCCATTCTTAAATGTTGTCTTTTCATAATTTTCTCTGTGCCTCACATCTTCACCTGTGCATTGGACCATTGTTTTTGCAAGACAATTAAAAAAACTCTGGTCTGTTTTACTGTAACATTTGTGTTTTGCAGCTGAACAGTGACATCAAGGCTAACGTGACATGTGCTGTATACAACTACAATGGGACAGAAGTCTTGGGGACATACAATGACGAGGACATCTATCTATTTGATGCCACTCACTCTGATGGTGCTGAATATATTCATAAGTATAAAGGACATAGGAATAATGCAACAGGTAGCTATACTCTCTTGTTGTGGGGATAATTGAAACTGTCTTATTCTTTTGATACAATAAATTTTAGTCAAATGTTTGAATGCTTGTAGTTAAATCAAAAGTTGAAATCTACATGATTGGTAAATTTTGGTAAGTGTCTGACATTTTTTGCAGCCTTATAAATGTAACAATATATGGAGTTTTTTGTTTAAGTATACCATGTTTCAATAAGCCCAGAATTTGTCCCTAAAGCCCTTGATGATGTCCATAAATAGATAAATTTCATATGCTTGGAAGTTGGATTAACCTGGTACTAAGTCTGTCTTGTTGAAAGGAAGGTAATTCCAGGCATGTTCCCATATTTTAGTGAAAGGAGTCAATTTCTACGGCCCGCGCAGTGAGTATGTGATAGGGGGCAGTGACTGCAGTCATGTGTTTCTGTGGGACAAAGCTACAGAGAGAGTTGTGCAATATATGGAGGCAGATGAGGGGGGTGTGGTACGTACACAGCACTGTGGAAGACAGGCAGAGATTTCATCAGCTGTTTTGGTTTTTATAAGGCAATGCTAGGCTCAGTTTTGCATCATAAATTTAAACTAAGTGTATATAGCATTCTTAACGGCTGAGGCAATTATGAAAAAAATTACTTGATTTATTCATTTATTTATAGCCATATGTGTCATTGATTTAATTCACAATTCAAAGGGCAATTTTTTGCAGCTGTATCAAAGGAATTCAAGTTGCATAATGGAAAACTGGAACATGATGTCATATATCTGATAATGTAATCAAATAGAAGTTCAACATGTCTGTACACTGTTTACTTCACCCTCAGGTCAATGTATTGGAGCCCCACCCCCATGCCCCCTTCCTGGCTACCAGTGGTCTGGATCATAACGTGAAGATCTGGGCACCTACAGCTGAAGAACCCACTAAACTGGAGGGACTGAAGGAGGTGAGAGCCTTTGACCTCTAGGATTATCATCTAGGAATGATTATCATATACCCTCTACCAGGGTGGCAGATATTATAGGGGAAAATTATAAAGCCAGAGAATCAAATGACTGTCTTATTATCTAAAAACATCTCTGTGAATATCTTATAAAAAAAATCAATCTGTCGCCCTGGTAGAGGGTAATTATAATAAACCTTTATCAAGATTTTCAATCATTTGAAGTATTGTTCAATTTTAGGTTTTTACATCATCATGGGTGATATTTTCCTGTTTTTTCAGTGTATGAAGAAAAATTCCAGAGAGCGCGAGAGGGAGAGAACCAACGAACCTGATATGGACGGACAGATGATGTGGTTTCTCATGCACCACCTACGACGGACTGCACGCCGCAGGGTAGGGGCCAGGAAACATGTTTACTGTAACACAAGTGTGCTGCTGATATATATGGTTACAGCTAACAAATATTAATTTATGTAAAATATAAAAATTTATGCCTGATAATGTTAGGGTATTAATTTCCCATTTAATATTTCTTTACCATTAAAATTATATTGATTGAGAAAAGAAAATTTAAAAAATGTCTTGACCTGTTGTTTCCTTTCCTTTTGCAAGCTGTCATTGCTATGTTAGGTTTTTTTTTACCAGTACAAGAAAATAAAATTAGACTGCCATATACCTGTACTGTAACTTCATTGTTCCATGTGCTGTTGTTTTCTTGGTGCAGGCAAGACAAGAAGGAGAGGATGTCTCTGAGAGTTCTTCAGATGCTGATTCCACATCCTCCGACTCTGAGGAAGAAGCCAGAGAGAGGCTGCAGTGTATGCCGTCTTAAATCTTCTGTCTAAACACAAAGTGCGCTGTCATATTTTTGTCTGAACACAGGGAGTTAGCAGCAGTAACATTGACAGAATATTGAAGATTGAGAAAGTCCAGCAAACTATGTCATAGTGGGATGTGACCACAGATTCTTGAGCCTCTTGAGAGTAATCAGCAGTGACACACAGACAGAATAAAAATGGAGACACACTTTTTGCTCATATTGTGGACAGTCTAGTGACAGTGGTCATAATGAGATGTGGACTTAAAAGTGAATAATTAGAGTGGACTCTTTATATTTACTTAGGAAGATGGAAGAATTCTTGTTGAACATTTTGTGTCCTCTTCAAAGTTATATGCACATATATTGGTTCTTTTTCATTACTGACAAAGCATTTGGAGAGGAAAAACAACAAATTTTGCTTTTTCTTGGCAAGGGAGTGTTGAGTCCTGCACACGAAACAGAGTGTAAAGGATGTTGTGAAAGAATCTACTTTCATCTGTATTTTGTTGCCAAATGAAGATGCAATGCACTGAAATGCTGCCATAGTAAATTGAAGTTTTGTAGCAGGTAATGACAGCAACAGAGGAGAGGGGTAATGACAGCAACAGCAGCAGAGAACAATTATCTAAATAAAGTTGTACGTCTTGTCCATGAGGAGACATAAAACATTAAGTTTCTAGACTGTACATGTGACAAGGCAGACCTTTGGTGGAGAAAGAAAAGTCCCATTGTGACATAATGTAAATATTTAAAGAAAAAGATTGGAAAGAGAAAATAGAAGTTTGTGCAATTGAAGAATTTTTGTATTTATGATTCATAGAAAGTGGCTTCTGATCTAAGGTAGATATTGGGAAGTCATACGTACTTTTAAATAAGTCTGATTCTTCAATATTTATCTTAAAAGAAACAGATAGAAAGTTGTGTATTTGTGACAAGTGTGCCCGTTGCAGAGACTAGTGAGAAAGCTATTACTACTATGTCAGAGATGTCAGATTTGAAGACTCTTGACATCAGGACTTGCAACACAGGAGTAGAGCTTCAGAAGAAACTTTGAGATATTTTGAAAGGTGGAGTAATTTTAGGTGTCAGATATTTTGGTACACCTCTTATCCATCTGGTACTGGTATGTCATAGACTGTTTTTGGCCCAGAGAAAGTGGTAATTGGAGGACAGAACTTTTTCATCCCTTTGGACATTTTAGATACGTTTCAAAGACATTTTCTGTTGTATCAATTTTGTCATGTTTGCAACCCATTTTCCACCAAATTTCATTGCCATGATGTTTGCAAAATATTTACTGGACACATCTGAGCATCGTGGGAGAGAGGGTGTGGGGGGTTCTCAGTTGGTACCCAGGTAAGGGGGTATTCTCTGACTACTTCAGCTTGTACCGCACCCTGAGATGGAGGTTCGAGACTGCACATAAGTGAAAACAGGAAGATGGGAGAGGAATCAACCTCCTAGCCACTATCTGATACAATGGGGTATTCAGTTCTATGGATTACAGATCACCTTTATCAAATCAAATTGTGACCAAGTTGATGTTTTTGACTGGGAATGTTAGTCAAGATAAAAATGCTCACTAAAATGTCCGTTATACAGTCTTGTTTTCATTGCTTGACAGTCCAAAACAATGGTGGAACAGAGATAAGACAGCTTGTGACCATTTAGTGTCTTAGGATAGTCCTCGGGATTCATAAGTAAGGGAATCCAGTTGAACTACTTTCAGCATATTGGAAATCTTGTTTCTCAACCCCTCGAGAATAACAGTCAGATAAACAGAAATTTAGAGAAAATGCAACATGCAACAAGATCAGGTAGTAACATAATCATCACAATCTATTCTATAATCTGATTAATGTAAATGTAATGATTGGTATAATTATTATGAATTATGTTAGTGCATGCATTTTTCAGATATTAGAACATGTGTAATGAATTGTCATATATATATAACTATACAAGCTTTGTTTCTTGGGTTCACTGCTTTTCCAGGCATTAAAGTGATTGAAAATGATTGAAATAAGCTTAACTTAAAACAAAAATATGTAGTCATTATAGGCCAATTTATAATGGATTAAATTATAGAAAAGCTACTTGGCCAAGAATCAAAATTTTCCAGCATAAACCTGGGAATTGTTTCTTTTTACAAGAAAGAAAAACTAAATTTATGAGTCTCCAATTATAATTTTTTTCCTTCATTGTCCATTTCAGTTAAAGAGACGACTCTCCATATGAAATTCAAAATTCCAAAATAAATTCATTTTATACAAGACGCCATATTACCAGTAAAATGACAGTTCACACAATTATTCTGTAATGTGTGCTTTCCATCAAACAACATGGGCCTTATTAAGAAATTATTACAAAAAACCACACTTCTTTAAAAAACCTAATCGACTAACTTCGAATTTTAGAAGGGATTCATTTACCTTTGGAAAGTGTAATGCGAAAAATTGTCATTTACCCCAGGAAAATCCCTTTTATGGCACTTTTACTACCAAAATGAAGAGTTGTTATCCCTTTAAGCATTGGCAAACGTATTGTTTCAATTTGACATAATTTTCAGATCACTTTGTTTTTTTTTTTCCAGTTAATTTTTGCACTTATAGAGGAAATGACATTTTTTCAGTTGAAACAAGTTACTTGGTTGATTTGTGACAGTGTTAACTATAAACCAGTAAAAAAATATTGTAATTTATTCTGAAATAAAGTTAATTGGTATATATATCAGAATTTTGTGAACTTTTATTAGTCTCAGAATTGTTTGCTGGCACCAACTCTCTCTTGAGTTTTACTTGAACGTACTTTATTAAGGATAACAAACCAATCTTCATAACCATAATTAACATTTTGAGCATCTTACATTGAGATATATTTGGGTTGGTTACGTAAATCAAAACTAACAAAAACGACCTCTTTTTTTTTTTCAAAGTTAAAAATATAATCCCTTCATCAGATCATATAATTCTAAATATCCCTCAAATCTGACTAACATATTTGCTTATACATTCTCACAATCATGTGTATATGTCTTCCTAAAATATTTAACAACTGGCCAATATGTTTATAAAATTGGTTAATATGTTTACAAAGCTTATAAGGAAAGACTGGCAGCAGTATTCTGTCCAGAAGTGGGCGTGGGTGACCCCAAACCCTTTGTTTCGATGGAGAAGCGTATTTGGTAACAGTACGTCTTGCTGCCATTTGTTCTTTTGCTAAATAATTTTTACTAAGGGAAATTATCAAAATATACTTCTGCTTTAAATGTGAAATTAAATAACTTTCTGATGAAGTAGAATTTGATCTAATGTGAAAACGAGAAAAATATTGAACACGGGGGGGAAAAAGAAATAAAGGACATCTCTGCCTCTCCCTAAAGTTTCTCTTTATGAGCACTTCACAGGAAATCCAACACAAATTATTTGTGCAGAAAGAGCTGATTACACTTCTGATGTATAAGTGAATGTGTATATGTAAGCGTAGAGTACAGAGATATCACTGTAATAACCTAATACTAGCTACTCTTAATAATGCTTTCTGTATACAACAACCAAATGTTGCCGTTCTCTTGCAATGCCACGTGGATAGTTGTCACTTTGTTCCTTTAGACTTAATTCTTAAAATGAAAAGTTATTATGTCATCTCTTGCTTTTCAGTCTAACATGTATCTTCATGAACACTTCACAGAAGGAGATGGAACACAATTTCCCTCAAAAATAAGTTGTATTACTGCCCTCTTTGTTTGGAGGTGAAATCCAACTTTCTTTTTATGTAGCAATTTTTGCTGCTGCTCCTTCTGAATTTGTTATCAAAAATGCACATTTGTATAGTCTTTTGTAAGACTAAAAATAACACAAGGGAACAAAACTTTCCACCCCCCAAAATAATTCATGATGTTATTCCTCTTGGTTTGATATCAGATACGTGTCTTCATAGAGTCTTCTGTAGGAACGTGAGTAGTAGAACAGAGCAAAGCCCCACTTCCAAGTCATAAAACACCAGACACATGTTAGGTAGTAGTTCTCTCCATAGAATTCAGTAAAAACTGAAATAAGAAAAAAAATTATATCATTTTGTTCCAATTTACAATACAACCATTTTCCAAAATAAGGTATTGGATTTACGATAATAATACCAACATCAACTACAATTATCATTATTCATCCACCTGGAAATGTTTGCAATTCGGGATGATGACATTTAAATTGCATTTTTTGCATGCGGTCACAATTTGCAGTGCTCTCAAGCAAGCAAGGCCTGGATTTTTAACATTTGGATCATGGGCAAAAGAAGAATATATATATATATATATATATAGATGAGGGTTTCAATGGCTTTTTTTCCTCGACACTTTTGCGGGCTAAACAATTTAAGAGAGAAGGACCGAGGGAAGGGGAAAGTGGAGGGGCAGTCCCTTAATTTCCTATACCTTTCAATAAACCTACCTATTTTCTGTACAATGCCCAGTGTCAGGTACACTATAAATCCACACACTCCTGCCAGCTGTACAAAACACCCTGTGTACATCAGATACTTCAGCTTGTAGAAGAAGGTTTTCCAGATGTCTCGTATATACTGTATGTGGACATACAGTGTTACTGCGGCGAAGACACCTGGAAGGACAAAACAAATCAAATCATGTTCTGACATCAAATATTTATTCTAAATGATAATTTACACATGTACTTTATTTATTCATTTATTTAGTACAAATGTCACAGAACTGGTCAATCATCACCACAGCTATAGACTTCATGATGCTATAATATTAGAGATGAGTTTCTATTAGAACTTGAAATTCAAGGTGTGGCCAAGTTCACTGTTTACCTGTCTACTTAATGCACCAATCATGATTTGCAAAAAATAATTTAAACATTTATTCATTTATTCTACTTGAAGAGTCTAACATCCAACATAACTTCTACTCAGCATAAATTGACTTTTGTTAAATACATGTACTAGAAAATTCTTCCTTTAAAGTAAATCTTTTCAATAACACTTTTAAAATCATGATAATCTTGTTTTTATTATTACATGTGTCATCCAAGGGTGACATAAGCACGTCGTTTATTCGGTTATTCTACAGTAATTCCACAGAAAAATTACCTGAAATAGCGCCCCATATTGCTGCACTCCAGTTCTTGAATTTAACCCCAAACACACCAAGAACTGCCAAGCCCACTATAATGCCGATAACAGCGAGTGAAATCCGCACTCGCATCCCACACCTGGAGGGAGCCATGTCTCTTTACGTAAGACGTGAGGAGTTTGTTGACATCTCGCGAGACTTTGTGAGAATTTCCCCAACATGGCGGACACGTGCGAAGTTCCACCGGTGGCTCTCGAAAGTGATGAATTTAACGCTGATGCTGAGAAGACGATGGATTCTGCAGACATGGGTGAGTACATTTGTCGTTCATCAGATGAGACTGCGTGTTTTCAGATAATATGCAAAGAGGATAAGTAGTGCAATTTGCCAGTTTGATTATAACGAAAGACTATTAAAAGGCAAGCGAAACTGACCAGTCAAACACTTTCTTTCCTAAAAATAGATGCAATTTTTACTCTCCTTCGTAAGATAAGAAAAACATTGCACGTTTGGACTATTTCATGTTCATATTGTATTTTCATCGTGATATCGCTGAGTGGTGTATCTTAGGGGTAAATGTTTAAACACAAATAGTCCCAACTTCCAGGTTTTATACATGTAGTTTGCAAAATCCCTTGCTCAGCCTTTGATCTGTTCACTGGTCAGTCATCTTCGGTATCACCATCTGCAGTGCAAAAAGAGAAAAGAATAAATGAATTTACTTACGAGTTATAACAGATTAAAACTACATAGTCAGCTTGTATTTTTGAGACAGAGTCGTATTATTTCCTTGTCAGTGTGATAAAACAAAGTCCATTGTCCTGAAACAAGTTTGATGAATACATAGAATGAATGCAAGTTATGTTATTAAAAAAATCAAAACATGCATGCGTTGGTCCAAATTAGTCTTTGAGGTACAAAATAAAAATGAAATTTAAGAATAAATAGAAACTTTTATCAAATAAATTTGGTAACATATTTTTTGATACATTTTTAAAATTTTATTTATCTATTATTTTATTTATTTATTAAGTATGCAGTCATTTTTTCATAGATCATATTTCTCTCATTTTCATATTTGTAAAATAACAATATTTATTGAAAAATAAGGTTTTCTGTTCTGTATCTTTCTTAAGAAGTATCAAATAATCAATGAACCAAGGATGCTACAATATTGAAAGTAAAGTCTAAAAGGTATATATTACACCTGAAAAAAATTTGCAATTTTTTAGCTCTTATCAATATGTCATAATTATTCATATAAATATTTAATACACAGTATAGAACAACAGCAAGTAGAACATTCAAAACAGAGAAAGAAGCTTTGCACTGGAAAATATTGTTTGATATCTATAGGATGCTTTATAAGTTTCCTCTTTCTGTGCAATCACCACATCAATCAATAAATATGAAAAGGATGGCATCCAAGCTCCAAGCAGAATCATGATATGCAATAATAAAGCAATCATTTTTGTCAGTTCTGTTCAACAACAGAGTATTGAACATAGTGAAAACATTTCCAATAAAACCCTGATTTATCTGTAACCATTCATGGTGTGAATACATGTCTGTGAATAGTGAAACTTCAAAGGATTTAATAACAGAACTCTCTCTATGTGATCAATAACATCATCACACAGATAAAAAGAGTCACAAACTTGTCAGTGGGGATGGATTGGAGGATACAGTGTATACGTAGTGACTGAGTTTGGAGGGAGCTCCATGTAGGTGTGTTCAATCCCCCAGGTTTATTTCTGTACGTTGTAAGTACTTTTGATTTTAAAATATTTATTTATGATTTGTAATATACTGCTTAAAAGCTGGAGAGAATCAAATTTGTCAGAGAGTTTATTTTTTATTGAGAAATGCTTAACATGCTTTTGTTGATAAGTGCCATGATGTGATATTGAATTTAGCAGGGAATATTTTGCTGCTTGATTTAAAAAAGATAATGCTATGGGTTATCTTTATTCTACTTTCAAGAAAATCTGTCATATAAGGTCAGTGCTGTTGTACCAGTATATTTACAGTATAAATGTATGAGAGTACAGAAGCTTTAGTATTACATCTCTCTGTGAATACCTAATTGTACAAAACTAATGAAATGAGCAGTGTGCTGTATTTCTCTGCATGTATTGATCTTTTGACCACAAATTCCCAGCTGCAGATCAACAACAAAGAAGGACATCTTATTATCATTATACGGCTCTCTCCACACACTGTTATGTGGAGGCCCTCCAGTCAATGCACTGGTTCTCTTGATGACCATTAATTAAATGAAAAGCTTTTAAAGAAATCAATAAGCCTGGTCAGTTCTTGGTTGAGATTTGTAGCTCTAGGCCAGTGTTCACAAACCACAATTCAGANCGTTTACTCCAGGAAAATCCAATTGTTGGCCAAAAGGAAGAGTTATTATGACTTTAAGTCAAATTTTGATTCAGACAGTATTCCCCACCTACATGTACCCTTTTCTAATACAGTTAGTAGAAACAATCTGCATTAATGGTGTATATATGTTTAAAGGTTCATTACAGTTAGTCAAAAAAGATTGCCTAGAGCAAACACTGTGCATTCCATACCATGTAATCCAATCAGCAAATGATCAATATTTAGAATGGATAAGGTCATGATGGTTGCTGCTGTACTGTGAACAAGTTCATTAGAATGTTGTCTGTATGATTGCCTGTCAGGCACACTGACCTTTTTAACTGGTATTCAGCAGGGTCAGAGCTACAGTAAATACTGTTATTGATTGCACTGCCTCTTTGGAGTAGTTGATCAGCTGAGGCAAGTGGAACATTTTCAAATTGATGTTTTACACGTCTGCTAATACTAGTACATTCTTCCCTTGAGAGCAGTAGTATTTTGATATTTTCTTATAATATTATTAAAGAGGAAAGAAAACTGTAGAGATGTTTGTTTTAGGTGATATAATAACTTAAGCTTGGACAGTGCTATTTAAACCTTAAATACTTAGTTAAATTTTTAGTTAACTACTCTGCACAAATATATACAGAAAAGAGGAAAGTGGGGCTACATCATTTTTCCGATTTAACTGGTTTTTAAAACACATTCAACAACATTTCAAACATATGGTTCATCAGAAAAAAAGGCTAAGTAAAGTCAGCCCTACAATGTTTTGTAAGATATGTATAAAACATTCAGTTGGAATAGTTAACATAACCTAAACACAAAGACCACTTAACACATTTGTACAAACAATACGCAGACAAACTGTGGGCAAAATTCACTGTGGATCACATATTAACATTAACTGGGTTCATTAATCACATAAGTGATTAGACTCCATTCTCATCTATTTATCAATGAGCTTCATTTCCAAGGCACCTCTAACACAGTGTTCTCAGCTGTCACAATGAAAAAAAAGTAGATCATCATAAAAGGATTCTCAGTTTTACAGTTACATTGCTCTTCTTGTCATATGTGAGTCCCATGCATAAAGGTTGTGGCTTAAGCAGTTAGAATTGGATTCAATAAGAAACTTCTGTCTAACTTTGGTCTTGAGTTAAAAAATCAGTATCTTTAGTCTACTTTGACTCCTTGCAAATCAATCAGGACATTTTACTGAAGTACGATTGTACTAAAATCAACATAAAGTTACTAATAGACCTTAACTTTAACTTATTATTTTTACCAAGAAATAGAATAGGTTGATCAAGTGATGTTTTAAAAAATTATCTGTTTATAAGACAGTGGTAAGTTTTTTGTCAAATAAGTTTGTAAATTTTACATTTATGTTGAATCTTTGAATTTTTCATAATATTTTAAAGGTTTTCTGTACATATTCTACTATGAGGAATGGTATACATAGTACTCTTTCCTTAATGGTAACATTTTTTTTTTGGGGGGGGGGATTAATAATAGCTGGGTTTTGTCAGAAAAAATAATTCAGCAAAGTGCACCTGCTGTGATGTGGCATGGCGCCTCAGATAGCTCATTATTTCATTTGATTGCATTGGTCTTTGATATCAGTTTACCTGGCTACACTAGTGTCTACACAGACCTGCAGTATGGGGACAAAAGCACTTGTCAGAGGGTTTGTAACAGAGAGCGTTTAGCACGTTAAATGTGAAATATTTTGTAATCTAACCCACCAGTGTGGTGGCGATGATTTACAATCAGTCGTACCACATTGCAATGAGCTTCCTTCATCTGACTTCCAAACCATTATTTTCTGCTTTGGGGACATTGAAAGGCATTATGCCATAAGAATAAAAAATCTTGATGAATACGGTTTGATTAACAATTCCGTAGATTTGTTATGAAGCAGTTAACAGGGGCGGATTTAGGGCGTCTTCTGGGTCTTCCGGAAGACGGTCAGATTTTTAAGTTTACATTGGCGGGTATCTAATTTTTTCTGTCGGAAGACGGTCAAAAATGAAGAACGGATCAACAAAGATAATTTGGAAGACTGTCAGGAAATATCTCTGGATCCGCCCCTGTTAATGCAAGTCATATTGAGTGTGGCTCATCTTACTGTTCCTTTTTGAACTTAAACATAAGAACCGTCTTAGGACATTTACTGGCATTTTAAGGTGAGTGTTTTTTATGTAATGATTATACACCTTCCACTGCAGAATAAAAGAGGAAAACTCCCCCATGAAAGATATCCCCTGAGAATTTCGTAAATTATCCCCAGCTTTGAACTCGTGGTATATAATGGAATCATTGGGTTGTGAGTTTTCTGTTTTGACTGCAAGATGCAATCTTATCACCAGAGGCTCTGGACTTAGTAACATGAGCTAAGTTTGAGACACTGGCTTAATGGTGAAGTTCTGTAAGCTATGCCTTCACCTCAGGCCCCAACAGACGATGTCTTTGTTCCTCTTGGTCCTGTTAGCCTGTTTCAAAGCGGAAATGATATGACAAAAGCAAAGATTAGAAGCTTTAAAAACACCCAAAGACGTCCTGTACAGAATTTTTTAAAGATGAAGCTTTGTTGGAGGGTGGGGATTTGGAAGATGATTCAACTTTGTGACTTGATGGTCTACTTGAGTTCAGGGATGGCAAATGGTGTGGAGAAAAGCTGTAGTATGTGGAGGAGAGGAGGGAAATGTTCAGATCATTTTAATTCTCTATCTCCAAGATTAAATTTCTTTGGACCAAATCGTTGGCAAATCGCAATTTTGTACCAATTTGATAAAAGCCTTGACCAAATATATGTAGTTACATATTAAACTTCTTTTTTTTTTCTGACAAAGTGGAATTATTTTTTAGCATTTGGCATCAGTTTGCCAGACCAGAGTTAGCTGACAGTTCAGAGAAAGTGATGGTAGGGGTGCAGATAAT